CCAGAACATTTTGAGGTCTGAAGCGTTGTTGTGCATGGCAGGTGCAAGATATCGGACACTTCTTCATTCGCATGGCAGGCATGGGACTTTCTGCATGTGGCTGAAGTGTTGGCAGGTGTGGGTTGAAATGAGAGGTGGTTGCGGATGGTATGTGTCATCACAGGCGCAATATTTTGTCTTGTGCGGTACTTCGGATTTCTCTTGCTCATTTTTCATGCCTTTTTCGCTAGACTTTGTCGTAATTTCAAGTTTTTAAACCTTGGCCAGACATCGCTGCTTTTCGATCCCCATTTTTGGTGGTGCGCGCGACCATGGTATGAATTTAGACATCACTCCGCAACCATCTCCGCGCTTTCTGGGTGTCAGATCGCTCCCATGAGTGCGCGGTGCAAATTTTGTGTTTGCTCGTGCAACCATCTCGGCACTTTGTGCGTGTCAGATCCAGTCAGATCGCTGTTCTTGGCACGCGTGGTGCTCATTTTGTGACATGATCTTGTAGAGAGCGCGGTGACATTCTGGAAGAGGTTTTTGCGTGATCTTGTGCAGATCCTAGTGAGAAAATTTCTTAGAGATCCTACTGAAATCCTTGAAGCGATCCTCGCATGATCTTGTGCAGTTCTTCTGAGACGATCTCTTAGAGATCCGGTGGAAATCATCTAAGAAGTCCTCGCGTGATCTTGTACTTACATGTCCTTATTCCTTATGAGAAGATCTTGTAGATACTGGTGAAATCTTCTGACGCTGTGCAGGTCCTTGTGCTAAGATCTTGTAGACGTCCGGGAGAAACCATGCAGAAATCCTTGCATGATGTTGCACAGCTCCTTGTCGTAAAGACAATGGTGAACCCCCGGCTACATTGCATGATCTGGTAGAGGTTTCTTTTGGGGTCCAAGTGAAACTGGTCTTTGCATGCATTTCGAAGATGCTCTGTGTGCCAGGTGCTTGCATGAAAGTTCTTGTGGGATGCTCTTAGGGAGTTCTTGCATGAAGATCTTGCTAGATCCTCTTGGCTTGAAATCGTGTGGCATTCTTCTAGATTTGCTGATCTGAGGGCTTCCGGTCAGTAGACATATTGTGGCTCCTTGTGACAAAAGCACATCCCTGCCTGCAGCTGCAGTCCCGAAACTGCGTAACCTAATCTTCTACTGTTTCCGTAGCTACTTTTTTGTAGCTTCCACATAGATTCTTATCTCCCGCACTATTTGGGGTCTCTTGGCAGTGTAATTAAGTCATTTCAATTCCATGTGAAACGTTCTTTCCGAGTGCTGCCAGGCTGCTCTCGGCTCCTCCTTCTAGACTGCTTTCAACTTTTTTGACTCATGGTGCTGTTGATGAGGAGCGGGCATTCAATTTTAAAGCCCGCCCGTGTGCTGCTGTCAGATTCCCCCTGACAAAATCTTTTCAGGTTTCCTTGTGACAAGGTGCTTTCAGATTCCTTACATGGGAGTTGGGCATTCAAAGCGCCCGCTTTGAACCCAGGATCTTTTCGAAAACGGGATTTGGGCATTCAAAGCGCCCGCTTTGAACCCTGTATTTTTTTTAAAAAATGGGACTTGGGATTCAAAGCGCTTGCTTTGAACCCGGTATCTTTTTGAAAATGACAGCTGGCAACCATATGCAAATGCTGGCGGGCCGGTTTCAGCTTTTTTCACGTTTGCCAAATCTTCTTTTTAAATGCTTCTCGCTGCTCCAGGTTTCTGTCTGGACATTATTTTTGCGAATTCCTCACCCAGGCATGCAAGGCGCCGGCTCTGAACGAACAAATTTAATAAAGCCGGATCACCTCGACTACTCAAAGCGGGCACTTTGAGATCTGTTTGTTTAGCGCAGAGGTTGTGCTGAGCTTCCAACATAGAATTGGAGTTCTCTTGAATTGGTAGAAGCAAGCGCGTATGTCAGTGTCAGAAGTTGAATATATTTCCCCACCTGCCAGGTGAGGGTTGTTAGATTTTATCAGAGTTGTTCTTCTCCTCCTCCTCCTCTTCCTCCTCGTCCTCCTCCTCCACCACCTCTGCCTCCACTTCCATGTTCACTTCCGCCTTGCCAACTCTTCGCCAAGCTCTTCGCCAACTTCCGCACGCAGTGGGCACCGTTGGACCTCAACCTGGGACCTTCCGAGCTCAGTGAGCAGTGAGCACCGCTGGACCTCAACCTGGGACCGTCCGAGCTAAGTGAGCACCGCTGGACCTCAACCTGGGACCCTCCGAGCTCAGTGAGCACCGCTGGACCTCAACGGCCAGATAGAATGCCAGAAGAAATGCCAGATAGAACGCCAGACAGAATGTCAGAAAGAATGCCGGAAGATATTCCAGATAAAGTGCGATAATGTTTGCCAGATAGAATGCCAGAAGATATGCCAGATAGAATGCCAGAAGGTATGCCAGATAGAATGTCAGATAGAATGCCAGAAGGTATGCCAGATAAAGTGCCAGAATGTTTGCCAGATAGAACGCCAGAAGATTTGCCAGATAGAATGCCAGATAGAATGTCAGAAGATATGCCAGAAGATATGCCAGATAGAGTGCCAGAAGATATGCCAGAAGATATACCAGAAGATATGCCAGATAGAATGCCAGAAGATATGTCAGAATATATGCCAGATAGAATGCCAGAAGATATGCCAGATAGAGTGCCAGAAGATATGCCAGATAAAATGCCAGAAGATATGCCAGATAGAATGCCAGAAGGTATGCCAGATACAAAGTCAGATAGAATGCCAGAATGTTTGCCAGAACATATGCCGGAAGATTTGCCAGATAGAATGCCAGATGGAATGTCAGAAGATATGCCAGAAGATATGCCAGATAGAGTGCCAGAAGATATGCCAGATAAAATGTCAGAAGATATGCCAGGTAGAATGCCAGAAGATATGCCAGACAGAATGCCAGAAGATATGCCAGATAAAATGCCAGAAGATATGTTAGATAGAATGCCAGAAGATTTGCCAGTAACAAAACGTATAGATTTCATGGTGGGGATAGCTCGAAGTAAAGTAATTTTATATTAGGTTGCTGCTTTGTAATTGGGGGAAGGGTTGTTAGTGTATTTGTTCAACAAATAACAACCATATAACGTTTGGAACTGCTTGCGGTGCTTCTCCTTTGTTGCCTTGTCTATAATAGGCTTGGTGAGACGACGTGTGGTTGGCGCCAGTGCTTGTCCAAGCCCCAGAGCATGCATACCTTGACCAAAGATCCAGTTGTGTCGCAAGTGCTCCTCTGAGACGGGCTTATTTTGAGGTCTCTGGGCCCAAATTCCAAACGAATAGCAAGTCACGTGTGCTTTCACATGTGAGCAATGCCGGGCGCATGCTTCTGCTGCATGCCAGACTGTTTGGAATGCGGTGGTGCGGCAGCCGCCTCTTCAACGAAACCTCCTTCAATATCACAGCTGCAAAAGCTGGACAACAAAGGGTCCATGAAGCAGATTGTTTCAAAGTCATCGGTGGCTTTGGCATCCTGCAGCTGCTTCCTTCCTGATTGCGGGCAGTGCAATCCAGGACTGCAACAGGCTTGGCCAACCCAGAGCACCAGTGACGAGCAGGGCACCATCAAGAGGCAGCAGGTGAAGCCTACGGGAAAAAAGAGAAAGGTTCCAGCAAATGATGGACGCTGCAAACGCACTTTACAAGAAGATCTTCGTGATGACAAAGCCGAGACTGTCAACCTGGCAATAGAGCTCGAAGAGGCAAGAAAGATACCTGCAACAGTGCGCCAATCTGCCTTGCAACAGATTGGACGTCCTCTGAAGGAGACATGGCTGTTCCTAGAAGTGTTTGCCGGCTGCGCCGCGCTGTCTTTGGCAGTGTCACAAGTCACAGACAAAGTTGTTGGCCCAGCAATTGATTCTCGAACATATTCTGAGCCAGCCCCATGGCGATTGCGCCTGGACCTCACAAAAGATGCCGAAAAAACATTCTTGTGGCAACTCATCTTGGAAAGCCGTCCTTGGTGGATTCATGTTGCCAGTGAATGCACGTTATTCACACCCATGGGGCGCCTCACGGCAAGGAGATTGCCATCTGAGTGGCGCCGCTTGCTCGACGAAGCAAAAGGCTTGTTCAACTTTGCCATGCACTTGCTCTTGCACCAGCACCAAGTTGAAAGATTAGGGTCATGGGAGCAGCCTCCACGGTGCGTGAATTGGAAATTCCAAAGGCTTTGTCACCTTCTCACCCTTGGCTTCCGGAAGGTGTCGTTCCCGAGTTGTAGTTACAATATGATTTGTTTGGACACACAGAAGCCTATACAAAAGTTTCAATCCATGCTGTCCAATGCTGATTTGTCTCCTCTTCAAAGGCGTTGCCAGTGCAAGGGCACTCGAAAGACTAGGCACGGACGCCTGGAAGGTGTTTTTCGTGGCCCACACGAATGGGCCGGGGCACGCAAAACTGCGTGGTCGGGGCGTTACCCCACGGATCTTTGTACAGCGATGGCAAAAATCATCGTGGAATCTGTGGCTTAAATCTTTGAGGATGGGCAAAACGCGCGCCCTTTCAAGCACAGATCCTTCAGCTGCTGTCTTTCTTTTTCAACACTAGCTGCAATGGTATTTGAAGCAGGGAGTTGATCCGCGCCTCTTTTGGTTGTCAGAGACATGTTCATGGCCACGTCCTGCATCTGTAAGTAGATTTGAGTTTTTTTGCAGATGCGTTGGGTGGCTGAGGCAAAGCCCGCTCTTCTATGGTGGTAGTTGCCGAGGCCAGCATGCATGAACCCAGTGACCCTATGGTAATCGGGGTAAGTGGCAGGCAGAAGAGCTTACTTTTTCCCCTGTAGATGTGCAGAAATCAGACCTTTTTTTATGCGAGAAGAGAAACGGTTGGAGGTTATTTGAAAATTTAAACTTGGGTGTCCTGAGGGATGGATTTTTGCCGAAGCCAAACATTGTGGAACGTGTTGCTAGCTCATGGATTCATGCGCAACTTCCGGTGATTAAATTGATTGGATTCATGTGGGCGCAGCATTTAGAGCGCGCAGTCTGGATTCGTGGCTTCAGACATGGCGTGCAATTTTTTCCTTGCGGTGCCTGCTTCCTCTTGGGAAGTTATGTTGGATGACTATTCACGTGGGGTGAGGGTCGCTTTGAAGTCAAATACCTTCTACGGAGACGCGCTGACAGCTGTTTTTGCCCCTTGGCAGCAAAAACGTGACTGTGCAAAAGGCGGAACACCTTGCCAAGCAGAGAAAATGCTGGATGTGAGTCACATGTTCATTCCTTCTCAAAGTTGGTGCTTATCCTGTGACGAGGATCATTGAAAATTTGCTGTTCTCCTGTCAGTTTCTAAGACCTATCAACCGCACAGCCTGCTCCCAGGCTTCACTCCACGCTCGTGGACCTTCGCTGGGGCTCAGCTTGTCTGGACTGCACCAGCGCAAGGTGTCCAGCAAAGCTTCCCAAGTTTTGTCCGAGAGCCTTGTGATTGTGGAAATGCGTGTGGACCAGCTGGATGACAAGTTTCAGATCAAGTCCGGACTCTTGTCTATTCCAGGAGGAGTGCGCCTTGGACGTGATGTGCCGGGTGAGCCAGCCTTGGGCTTGCAAGGCCCAGCTTGCACCTGCATGTGGTGGACCACCTCCTTGCAGGCGCCTCTTTTTTGTTGCTATTTATTGTCAGCAGCAGCGCATTAGTGAACGCAGTCAGAGGATTCTTCAGACGTACTTTTGGATCCAATCTTGTGGACTTTGTCCTCTTTGGAACAGTCATTGTACATGGGTGGGCCTGAAAATGGGTAATGATTTTCCTCGGCTGCTTGTCCCTCTGACATAGCTTGTGGGACTCCTTGGTAGCTTGGTTTCATTGCGTTCTGGATTCTATGTGGTAGCCTTCTCTGACTTCCTCATCTTAAGGCCTGCATCTCCAAAGCCTTCTCGAGTCCCGGTCTCCTTCGCATCCAACTTTTAAGATCTCGTCTTGAAGATTCCCCTTATTTTCATGCTGCCTGTGCACATCTCGGCCACACACATCATCACAGAAGCATTTGCTTCCACACAACCATTCTCGCAGGGTCGTCCTGTCCAGGTATCAGAGACATGCGAGGATACATGTTTCAAGATTTCAGGATTGGCATGCTGGTGTTATACTATTATTGCAACAATGTGGTTCCTTAGCCAAGAGAAGCAGTGAATGGACGTTTTTCCACTTATTTTTTGCTCCCTTGGTCCCCACCATTGCATAGATCTCGACATTTTTTGTTCCAACATCTTTTTTGACATTCTACTTGACACCTACCTGACGTTCTCCTCTCCTCTCCTCTCCTCTCCTCTCCTCTCCCCTCCTCTCCTCTCCTCTCCTCTCGTCTCCTCTCCTCTCCTCTCCTCTCCTCTCTCCTCCTCTCCTCCTCCTCTCCTCTCCTCTCCTCTCCTCCTCCTCTCCTCTCCTCTCCTCTCCTCTCCTCTCCTCTCCTCTCCTCTCCTCTCCCTCCTCTCTCCTATCTCCTCTCTCCTCTCTCCTCTCTCCGCTCGCCTCTCTCCTCTCTCCTCTCTCCTCTCCTCTTCCCTCTCCCCTCCTCTCCTCGCCTCTCCTCGCCTCTCCTCTCCTCGCCTCTCCTCTCCTCGCGTCTCCTCTCCTCGCCTCTCCTCTCCTCTCCTCTCTCCTCTCCTCTCTCCTCCCCTCCCCTCTCCTCTTCTCCTCTCCTCTCCTCTCCCCTCTCTCCCCTCTCTCCTCTCTCCCCTCTCTCCTCTCTCCTCTCTCCTCTCTCCTCTCTCCTCTCTCATCTCTCCTCTCTCCTCTCTCCTCTTTCCTCTCCCCTCTCCTCTCCTCACCTCTCCTCACCTCTCCTCTCCTCTCCTCTCCTCTCCTCTCCTCTCTCTCCTCCTCCCTCCTCTCCTCTCTCTCTCCTCTCTCTCTCCTCTCTGCCTCCTCTCTCTCTCTCCTCTCTCTCTCTCCCCTCTCTCTCTCCTCTCTGCCTCCTCTCTGCCTCCTCTCTGCCTCCTCTCTGCCTCCTCTCTGCCTCCTCTCTGCCTCCTCTCTGCCTCCTCTCTGCCTCCTCTCTGCCTCCTCTCTGTCTCCTCTCTGTCTCCTCTCTGTCTCCTCTCCTCTCCTCTCCTCTCTCCTCTCTCCTCTCCTCTCTCCTCTCCTCTCCTCTCTCCTCTCCTCTCCTCTCCCTCTCGCTCCTCGCCTGTCTTCCTCTCTTCTCGCCTCCAACAACGCCTCCTCTCTCCTCTCTCCTCCTTCTCCTCTGCCCTCGCGCCGCTCGCCTCGCCCTCTCTCCTCTCTCCTCTCTCCTCTCTCCTCTCTCCCCTCTCTCTCTCTCTCTCTCTCTCTCTATCCTCTCTCTCTCTCTCTGTGCTGATCTGTGCTGATCCCTTCATCCCTTGTTTTGTACGTCCCAGGTCCTCAGCAACATCTCCCGAAGCCGTTGGGAGCTGGCGCCGCAGCTCCTAGATGAACTCGCGGAAGTTGCGGGACGCGGCAACAGCGTGACGCTCAACACGGTGATGACCGGTGGGATCTGGGTGAGCCGGGTCATTTCTAGGGATGATCACCCAGCACATCCTCAGCATGTCCTCAGCATAAGATTTGTTTCCCATGAATTTCCTTCTGATTTTCAAAGGATATTTGGAGATCCAAACTCCGGGGTGGCCCGGTCCCGAATTCATGGAAGCGGAACATTCCCAGTTCCTGGTACAACAGCTTTGGAACATTTTGGACCTCCAGAGTTGTTACTTGGAATGGCACCCAGATCACCCATTGACCTCACGCAGGTTGCCAAAGGGCCTCGAAGTGGCAACACGTGGTACAAGTGATGCGGACTTTCAAGATCCTTGCTGAAATGTTGGACTACTTCGAGGTTCATCCCGATTAGTTATGCTGCATAGTGGTTAATTGACCTTAAATATAAATAAATTAATAGAACCCAATTCGGTGGGGCTATCCCACTTCTAATTTGAATGATCCTTCAAGTAGGTCGCCAGATCCAAATTTCCTCCCTCGAAAAATGTGAAAAATCACAACTCGGTCAGTGGTAGACTCAGCTAAACAGCCTTCCTCCCAGACGTTTCCAACCTTTTCGGAACAACTTCCCCACTCCTTCCACCCCTCAAACTCAACGTTCACGAAATCCAAGGACCAGGCAGCTGTGCCCCAGCGCGGTCTCCTTCAACGTGTTGCTTCGGGCCTGGGAGGTCTCCAACTGGCCACGTGGCATGTCCTCGCTGCATGCCATGGGAGATCTGCGGGTGCCCAAAAACACCGTAGTGTACAACGCAGGTGGGGCGCTGGTGCCACTTCTTGGGGAGGGATGATGATTGGGGAGTACTTGGAGTCAAGGAGGCGCTTTAGTTGGGAGATCTTTGGGGATGTTTACCCTCTGGTAAACTAACAGTTCGCTTATTGAAAATGGCCCAGTCGAAATAGTGGATCTACCCATTGAAATTGGTGATTTTCCATCGTTAATTTACCAGAGGGTACCATTGGACGGAACCATGTGGATGTCATAGAACTTGGCCAAGACATCGCGAAAGGAACAGATCTTTGGTCATCAAACCTGGCGACCGTGTATTACAATGATTTTCCCATTGAACACCCATTTTACATAGGATTTTTCCATGGATTTTCCATCATGTTTGATTCCCAGAGGGATCCAGGATCCATTTTTCAAAGCCCCTTTGGGGCGCCGGAGGCATTTCCTCCTGCAACTGGCGATGCTCAGAAGGGTTGCTGCAGGCACTGGTCAATCAGCAGCTGGAAAGCAGTGCTGTGACCAGCAACTCGGCCATTGCTCTGCATATGAGGACAACGATTGACGAGCTCTGGTCGTATCCTCTACAATGTGGGGCCATGTGGGGCCCCCCAGTTGTGTTTGTTGGTTTATAAACCCCATGAACTATAGTTATAAGTACCATAAACCATAGTTATTGGAGTTATAAAATGTTATAAACCAACTTAGCTATCTTGGGGGCCCACATTGTAGTGCTAAGGGCTGGGAAGGTGGAGTCTGGGAAATAGAGATGGGAGAGGGTATGGATTGGCCCATCATTTTTTTAGGGGCCCTGTATGGATTCACAAGAAATGAGTTTCTGTGATCTGTGTGAACTTTAGGAGGTGCAGAAAGTAGTTGTATCTCGTATGTCCTATTGCCCTAGGAGCCACAATAATCTCAGCTGGCAAGAGGATAGGCGAGCCAGACAGGACCAGCCACTGGCAGACAGCTCTGTTTCTCAGCCACACTGCCCTTCCAACGCCCGATGTCTTTGGACACAGTTCGCTGATTTCCGCCGTGGGAGGCGGGGTCATGCCTGTCAGCAACCACTATAATGGAAACTGATGGGGATACAATGGATACAGAAATGCTTGATGAAGGATGATGACCGTCCGAAAGTGGTCACTAGTCATATCTAGTATTATCTAGTCATGATTCTGCAGAAGCCGAGGGGGTTGACCCAAAAAATCCTTTTTCGGGATGGTTCAAATTGACCCAGAATTATCCGATTAGTGGAAAACACCAACCATTGTAGTTTCATTAGGGATCTCATGAATTTTTCCGGTAAAGACCACGGCGTTGATGTTTAAACCAGGGCTTTGCCACTAATGATTGGGTTTGTCACTGAAGGTTTGGTGTACACCCTGCAAGTGGCAATTTTTATTCCGGTTGTCAACAGTCAACACAGCATTTCGCGTACTTGTGCTGCAAAGTGAATTCCAGTAGATAGAATTGTGCAGATAGGCTTCAACATACTACATTTGCATACATTTGTAAGTAGGATCAAACAGTGCCATTGTTGCAAGACAACAACTGAATTTGTTCCGCTGCCAAAGTCTTGAGCCTTGGTGGGCAGATCTATAGAAGAACCTGGGAACAAAAAATGTGGCTCTGGAAAGAGACCCTCACATTTTATGAACGCAATTGGGGTGGATATCCATCACATGTTTCTAAGCTGCCAGAATCTTGCGCGTCTGGAAATGATTCATTCCGAATGCGTTTCTTCGGAGTGTTTTTTTATCTCCGGAAGTTTCATGAAGTTTCGCATGCTTCGTTTGATCGTGAAAACACCATAAAACATCAACCAATCCGACTTGTAGCAAGAACCCAAAGGCTGTTGGACCCTCGGCAACTGACTGAGGATGCTTGTTGAAAGTACGTGGGCAACTGACTTTTTTTTGTAAGTTTCAACATCGCGCTGATAGTATGTTGGTTACGTTGCATGTTTTGATTCGGCACATGGCAAGCATGGTAATGGCTAGGAGGCTAGGATGTCCATAGCTAGCCGCCGCATTTTAGCTCTTCTCTCCTCTCCGGGGCTGGAGAGATTGGAGAAAAGTGCGCCTTCGATGCAAGCGGTGCAAGAACTCGCGGCCTATGCAAAGAACCATGGGTTGTTTCGAGCTGCATCTGCTTGTGATGTCACATGCAGCCTACTTTCTTTGATGTTCCCATGTCGTGCCGGATCTTCATCACGGTTCCAATCTTTACGGAAGGTTCCAGTTTGACAAAATCAGTTGAACTGAGTTTTGGTGGACGTTGTGTTTGAGTGAAGGCAAATCGCGCTCAAGTTCTTGATTCTTAGTCTTCGTCACAAGGGTTAAGAACTGGAGTTTTTACTTTTGCAAGTTTGATGAGAGAAATTGGTGTAAAGTTTGAAACACGCTTTGTTTCACTGTTCCATCTTCAATATAATAAATCAAGAGAATGGGCACCAGTTTTGACGCGCTGCAATCACTGTAGTTGGTACGGGAGGTCTCCACTGTGGAACTCTTCGTCAGCCATTCTTCAAAGTGTCCGTCTTGGAAGAAACTTCTGGCGCTGTGTCACTACCTGAACTTGGACTTGGCCATTTTCTCATCATTCCTTGCTTGCATTTCGGGTGTGATCTTCTTGGTTTTACGGGCTGGCAGCTTAAGTGCTGTGGCACAAGAACCTCAGCGCCTTTTGTCTGGCAGTCTGTTCTGGTGGCCTGTTCTTGTTTTCGCGATGACTTATGCCTGTGGACATGTTCTGTCCAACAAGCTACTCTGGTTTGACAAGCTCTGCATTGACCAAGACAACTTGCTACGGAGATGTCAGGCATTGAAAGCAGTTCCTGCCTTTGTGGCTCACTCCGAACGGATGATTATTTTGTTGGATGAGACGTATTTTTCGAGGCTTTGGTGCATCTATGTCCCTTTTGGCTTTGGTTTAGGCGGCAGAAGTTTTGCTCTTTGTGGTGAGTTTTCCAATTTGCTTCTTTGGGCTGGGAAACTCTGTTCCTTTTTTTGCAGCTGGACAGGAATTGGCTGTGCACAGCAAAACAGGCTCGGCCACTGCCGAGCTGATTCCGATGTGGATGCCTCTGTGGACGATCAGTTTCATGGGTTTCGGTTCGTTGCTGGCATGCGATTTGGTTGCAGGTAATACATGAGCAGTAACCAAAACTCTTGTTGATTGGCCATTAAAAAAAGGGGGCATACAGATTTACAAAGTACTAGTAGTGGAGAGTTGTGGCAACAGTAGTGGGTTTATTGGGGGATTCTTATACTCCAGGTGGCAATCTGTGTCAACAACCAGTGTACAGAAGGGGATGACAGAGGATTTTGAACTGAAATGGGTTTAGTGTAGATTGTGGAAGAGCCAAGAACCTGAACAAAGGTGAAGTACACATGGGGTGACCTTTGAATTCCTCGATCCTGTGGATGAAACCATACTGTAGTTCTCCAACCTCCTAGGTCTTTGCCTGCTCGCATTTGGCGAACGTGCGACAGCTACCTGGTTACAACTGAACACAGAATCGTTCACCTCCCTCTTTTGGTCCGTCTTCAAAACATTCCCGGATTCGATGTATCCTCTTTATGCAGTCCCTGCTGCTTGGTTTTGTTTCGAGAAGCTCAAGCGACACAAGAGGATGCTTGATCAGATGGCAGAGTTTCATCTTGGAAATGCCAAGTGCACTTTGGAGACAGATCGCAGAGTCATCGAAGAGCAAGTATTGAGTCTGTTTGATGAGGCGCTCGAGCCTCCAGTGAGCATTGCATTTGGTACTGAAGATGACATGGGCGGTTCAGAAACTCTCCTAGCCCCAGAGACCATCCGTGATATCCGTGAGATCCGACATATCACCAGCTACCCTACGAACGATCAAATCATTGATCAGTTCAATGCGTACGTCCGAGGCCCCCTCCGTGACAGTGTGATTCAGTCCATGGGAAGGGAAGACTACATCCCCTTCAGACTGTGCACGGTTGCAAGCATACCTTGGATGTTGTGGAATGTGCTTTATATTCTGGGATGCGGTGCTGATTGTAGGAAAGCAGCATCTTCTAATGGCTTCCATTCTGTTTCGCAGAACTTTGTGTTTGATGCGGTGTATTATTTGTATGTATCACCTTTGACGGGGTTTGTGGAGCTTCCGACAATGCTGATTGCCTGCAGATGGGTGGCTGATCTAGTGGAGCATTGCGGTGTGCGCCTGTTCTTGGGCACAGGCCTTTGCATTGTCGTAATGTATTTTGTAGATCATTTTCTTCTCCTTCAGTACGGGGTCCTGGCGGTCGCAGTTACAAGGTTTTCACCACTTTGGCTAGCAGCGTCCGTTCTCAGTTCAATTCTTGATGTGGGCCTGTTGTGGCTTCTGTTCTTTAGGAAGGAGCTTCATCCGACCCAGCGAACACTGGGTCGATCATCTGTGTGAAAATTGGGTTTGCCACACCCAATTACTGTCGGTTGAATTCAGGGTATTGGCTGAGCATGAAACCATAGAATAGGTGGGTTAACGTTTAAAGCGATTGCAACCAGCCCAAACTCATGAATGATAGTTGCTATTGAATGGAGAAGCCATCGAAAGAACATTTTATGATATTTGATATTTTATGGCTTTCAACTACGTTTGTCTGAAAACAGGGCAAAACCCAAACCAATAGCTAATAGTAATTGTATGTATCAAAACTGCCATAAATGGGGGTATATGGTATGCCACAGCCAAATCTACTTTGGGATTGTTATAGTTTTGTTTTTTCCAGGTGAACTTATATGTCCTTTTCAGGTTCCGGATTGCATCAATCATCCTGCTAGATGACTGGTAGATGAGCAGATAAGACCCACATTCCGGGAGAAACGATCTCCAGTGACTACAATACTGCAATGTACTATCGCGTTCGGGCTGCTGAAGGACCAATCAACTATTCATATCTCTAAATTGGGAATAGTTTATGAAGTTGGGTGTACCAATCAACTATAACTGGTGGTTTGGAAATGTTTGGAACATTTTTTATTTTTCCATTTGGAATGTCATCCCAACTGACGAGCATATTTGAGAGGTAGGTATACCATGGTATACCACCAGACAACCAACCAACCCAGCAGTGTGCGAAGGCTATGGGATGATAATGGATGATGGTTACCAACCATAGCCGCCATCCGCCCGAATATGGAGCACCGTAAAACTCGAAGATAGGGATAACACATGATAAAGCATTACCTTTTTCTATGCGTATTGTTACGGTTTCTATTTTTGGCTTTCCTATCGTGTATTTCACTATTTCATAGATGTTCATACATGTTCCCCATGTTTTTCCGGCATGGCTGATCCACCAGGCAACTAGCCGCTGGCGCTACACCTGGGCGCGACTTGGGCTGCTTCGCGATGCGTGGTGACTTGGAACGCGTTGCTGAGCAGTTGCGAGAAGTGTCAGGACGGGAAGAATCCAAAATGGCTCTGGCGAAAATTCTCCCGGCAAGAGACCCGAAACAGTGTGGGGGAGTGGGAGGATAATGTATGCTTGTATGATAATGTTGATGATGATGATGGTAATGTTGTTGATGATGGTAATGTTGATGATGATGGTAATGTTGTTGATGATGATGATGATGATGATGATGTTTATCCATGTGTATCCCCTAACAGCTTCTTCCAACAGCCTTAACATGGCAATTTGATTGGATTCTTGATTCGAAAATCGATGATTAACCAGTGGGTTCTGGGGTAATTGTCAGACAAACCCATGGGGGGATCGATTGAAAGAAACATTCAGGGTCTAATAGAGGAAACATGAGGAAACCATTGGTCGTATTGTCAAAGATGTTTTCTTCATTTTTACTGTTGCTTGAAGAAAATCATCCATGTATATTCCCCGAACTAAATCATACTATATAAATCTAGGAAAAGAACGACCGTAAATCGTACCCCCTCGGAGAGATCAGTGTTGCCATGAATGAATCACAATGGGGCTTGCCAAACGCCAAAACGGGGCTTCGAACATTTCGAACCAGTAGAAATGGTGGCGCCCGATTCTCCGAACTTGCGCTAACAGTTAACATCTATAATTGCCGCTGTTTACACCACTTTTCTGACGTTTTACTGTGTCTCTTTTTTTGGTGGACTCCCTCTTGATACATATTCCCCGATGTGGGACCATGATCCCGGTTGCACGGCTTTGTTTATCCATGTGTGAACTGAGAAGTGGGACATGACCCATTGATCCCATTGTCCATCCATTTTCCACGGCGTTTTTTAACAGCTACAGGAATGGCAGCTGGCAGCTGTGTTGTTCTGCTCACTTCATTCCCAAACTGTGGAAGCAAACGTGAAGCTCGGTCCAGGGTCCCACGGGTCCAACGGGTCCAACATCCGTTCAACCTGTCGATGCCAAAGAGAACCCCCCAAAGTCATGGGCACCTGCCTAACATTTGGGATGTTTTTTGATACATATGCTATATCGTGTGTTAAACCATGTTAAACCATATTTGGGATGGTGTTAAACCATGTTAAACATTGTTAAACCATATTTGAAATAATTTGGGATGGTTCAGACTCTGGGTTTGCCCCTTTTTTTCTCAGATCTGTGAGGATTGGCTCCGGTGCCGTCCTCGCCTCCCTGGGTGGCCGCTGGTCCCAAGCCTTCAGCGCGCTGGAGTCAGCGGTGCAGCGCAGCATCCGCGCAGCGGTGGTGAGCCGCAGCGCGGTGATTTCGGCGTGTCACTTGGGCTCCAGTGCCCTTTTTCACGGCTTGGGATACCCTCTGGTAAACTAACATAACGATGGAAAATCACCATTTTCAATGGGTAAATCCACTATTTCTATGGCCATTTTCAATAATTAGCTATGTTAGTTTACCAGAGGGTAGGGGAAAATGACCTTCAAATAGTTTCTTTTGGATTTTTCGAATGTCTTAGCAACTTGGCACCAGATGGTCCATGATGGGTCCCCAAAGGGATGGCCCCCCTTTTATTTCATTCATGTTTTTTCTGTCTAAGTGATGAGTTATGTCATGAGTCATGCCCTTCATTATCATCCGGGTCATCATGATCAATATGACCCACTCTAACCAATATGACAATCCATTTTATAGCCTTTTGCCTCCCTCTCCACAAACGAAGCAAGACGACCCAGGATTTGACTTTCATCCATTCCGATGGTCTCAATAGGATGCTGACTCCCATTTGGTCAGGCCCCTCGGGGATTGATCCCCGGTGGTCAAAAGCAATAGGGTCTTCAGACACCACAAAAAGAATCAACATATGGATCTTCACCGCCCAAAGTCTCTGCTTTCAATCTTCATCCGGTTCATTTCCAATTTCGATGGGGTTCCAGAATGTTGGTCTGGGTGGTGCTACCGGGGTAGCGCGTTCGGACTGCGCTAGGTGAGAAGGGTTTAGCCTGGGAGCACGCCAGCCATACCTTGAACACGTTGGGCCTTCTGCACGTGGGCACCACGGAAACCACCTACAGCGCAGTGGCCGCGGCGCTGGAGAAAGGGCAGCAATGGGAAGCAGCAAGCACCTTGGCCTTAGAGACGGCAGGGGAGTCTTCAAATTCTACCATCATTTGTATATAGGGGTTTTATAGGATTTATAGGGATTTTATAGGGTTTTTATAGTTTTTTTTTTTTTTAAATGTTTTTAAAGAGTCTCTCTCAAACGCTCATCGGGGGTCCGCCCCTTTCAGTTGCAGTGGCGGGGCGCGGGCAGGCGGTGTCGCGGGCCCCACGTCTCAGGACCTCTGGTGTGCTCCCTCCGCCTGCTCGGGCCCCCCCACTGTAGCCTGCCATGGCTCCGTCCCCTGGCACACCTCTGGGTGGCGAACGCCCTCGGCAACGCAGCCACTCACCTCGCGGGGGGGCGGCCCTCCACGACCCCATGGACACCGACGGAGGGCAGCCTTCCTCTCGCGGTCGAGTCTTTTGCCCTGTGCCTGGATGTCTGCAAGGCGACCCCTTGCGGGCACGAGGGTGGGCTTCGGTGGCATCCATGCAATCGCACATTGATGCGCACCTGGCAGGCAGTCTTCACGGGGATGTGCCCATTCCTTGGCTCCACTCGCACAACCGTACTCGCTGCCTTGAGTGCGGGCTTAGCGTCTCCAGTCGGCATGGCATACACCCAACCTGCCGCCCCGCTGCCAGGGCCGCAGCCGGTGCACCTCGCAGCGCCGCTGCCGGTGACACCTTGCCATCACTCGACGCAATCCTGCTGGGCCGCACCCGCACGCTTCGACATGTGCTTGCCGCAGCCCGCTACCTGTGGGGGAAAGTGTTGACCCGAGCCCTTGCAGCAGCTGCCCACCACAACGACATCAGGGCTTGGCAAGAACTGCTCATGCTTCCGCAGGCGGTCCTTGATGCCCCACAGCGCGGAGGGCGCAAACACGCCAAGGCCGTGGCGGCCTACACGTTGGATCGCTTGCAGCGGTGGAAGTCTGGCGAAAGGGCTGGCCTTTGGGAAAGCCGCCGGCCCCCATTGCCCCCCAGTGGCCGTGAACGTACTGCCAACCAACGCAAAGAGCTTGCTACTGGCTTGGCCCGGGAAGGCTTCGACAGTAAAGCCTGCGCAGCCCTTCTCGCCGACGGCCTGTGCGCAGAGACGCCTGCCACAATCGCAGCACTCCAACAGCTGCACCCCACCCAGCCCAACCCAGCGGTGCCACCGTTCCACGAACTGTGCCCAGGCCCGTTGGTCGAGCCTGACATGGTCGCAAAAGCTCTACGCAGCTTTCCTGCTGCATCCGCTCCTGGCCCCTCCGGCCTCCGAGTGCAGCACCTTCGGGATGCATGCTCCCCTGGAACTATAGGCACCCTGCACCAGCACTTGGCCGCCGTGGTTGCGCTTCTGGCCAATGGTCAGGCATGCGAAGCGGTGGCGCCTGTGCTCTGCGGGCACACCTGGTTGCCGTCCCGAAGCCAAAAGGAGGCGTGCGCCCCATCGCCATCGGGGAGCTCTTGCGGCGCCTGACCGGAAAGTGCCTCATGAGCCAACTCCACACTTCGGCCCGACAGCATTTCTTCCCCGCCCAGGTCGGGGTAGCTGTCTCAGGTGGTGCGGAAGCGGCTGTGCACGCAGTACGGGCCTGGCTTGACAGGCACTCGCACTCACAGAACAAAGTCCTGCTCAAGCTGGATTTCGAGAACGCCTTCAATACCATCAGCCGCGATCACGTCCTTTCTGCGGTCCGCTCGCACTTTCCCGCCTTGGCGCGATGGACTGCATGGTGCTATGGAACGGCCTCTTCCTTGCAGTTTGGCACCACCATCTTGCAATCCGCTTGTGGCGTCCAACAGGGTGACCCGTTGGGCCCTCTGCTGTTCGCTGCTGCTTTGCAACCATTGGCGGAGGAACTTCGCTCTGGCCCCCTCGACCTGGCAACCTTCTATCTTGATGACGGCGTCATTGCCGGTGACATCGACGCTGTCTCGGCGGCCCTCTCCCACACACAGGCCCGGTGTGCGGAGTTGGGCCTGCGCCTCAACCTTGCTAAGTGCGAGATCATCAAAGTTGGGCTCACTACTGATGGGCCAAGTTCCCAGATACCCTCCTCCGGACTAGCAGCGGGGAGAGCAAGGTTCAGACTCACTTCGAGCTGCTGGGGGCAGCCATTGGAGATGCAGCTTTCATTGCTGCCCACACCACCGCTCGAGTGGCCAAAGCCAGCGCCCTCTTGGATGCCATCGCGAGCCTGGAAGACCCTCAGGTGGGGTTACGGCTTCTGCGCTCGTGTGCCGGACACACCCGCATGGTCCACAGCCTGCGGTGCAACCCGCCCGAGCCGCAGCTGGCTGCCCTGCAAGCCTTTGACCACAAGGTCCGCAGCTCCTTCAGCATGCTCACCGGCATCCACCTCAGCAAGCCACAATGGGAACAAGCTGGGCGTGCGTTTGGACAGGCTGGCTTGGGACTTCGGTCCACCACCCACGACGCCCCAGCATGCTACTTGGCCTCTGTCGGCTTCACGTCGGAGAGGTGCTGCCAACTTGACGCAGCCTACAACTCTTTCCCCCCACGTGTTCAGCCAGCGGTCACCACTGCACTGCAAGCCTTCAACCAAGCAGCTGCCGCCCCCTTGACGGTGGATGTAGCTCTTACCAAGAACCAGAAAGCCCTCACGATGCTGCTAGACACCGCCACCTGGGACCGACAGCTGCAGACCGCCACTGTTGTTAGCCAAGCTGTTTTGCGGTCCGAGGCTGAACCTGGGGCCGCTTTCCTTGCAGCGCCACCTTCTGGCAAAACTCGGATGGAGCCGGCGGTTTTTGTCACAGAGCTTCGGCAACGGCTGGGCGTGGCTGACGCCAGCACGGAAGCTTGGTGCCCGCGCTGTGATGGGGTGTTGGACACGTTGTCTCTCCACGCAGCTGTGTGCTGTGCAGGAGGCGAGCGCACTGTCCGCCACCACGCACTCCGGGACATCCTCGCAACTTGGGTTGACCGAACGGGGTTGCAGCCAGAGAAAGAGAAGGGAGGACTCCTGCTACCCCAGCACCCTGACGATTCCAGCAGCATCCGGCGGCGGCCGGCAGACTTGTACGTACCTTCATACCTTGGTTCACCTACTGCCTTTGACCTGGCCGTCACGGCCCCCTCGCGGCAGGAAACCTTGGGAGAAGCAGCGCGCACCAGTCTGGCGGCCGCTTCTGCGTATGCGGAAACCAAAGCAGCCCATTTGGACACTGCTGCAGCATGTCGGGGGCAAGGGGTTGAATTTTTCCCCCTAGTGGCCGAAACTACAGGCGCCTGAGAGCCGAAAGCTGCCGGCTTCCTCCGCAAGATCTCCAGCGCTGCAGCTGCCCGTGAAGGGGCCGATGGAGAGGGGCTCCATGCCACACTTCTGCAAGAGCTGTGTGTGGCTGCTCGAACTGTCCGGGCCCAAGCAGTTTTGCGCCGACGTGCTGAGCTCGCCATGGCAACCACACCTCCTGCCCTGTAGCCCTCTGCTTTGCCTTCGTCTCCATTGCCATCTTCGCCTCCTGACTGCTTGAGCCGGCCTCTAGTTTTTTATTTTCCCGTGGCAGTGCCATTGTGACTGCCATTCTTTTTGCCTTCACTGAAAGTGATTTTTTTATAGGCTGAATTCTGGCAGCTTCTGGGAACGACATTGCCTGTAGCCTGTGGCCAGCTTTTCCACCTGCCTCTCATGGGCGCCTTTTTGGCCGAATTTTCCTTCAGGCTCGTCTCCACAGACTGTTTCCTGAAATCTCTTCTCCATCTCCACCACGGGGATTGGAGTGATTTCAAATTTATCCTGCGTTTTTGAAGAATTCCGGCAATTTCACAAGTTTCCGGCGTAAAAAAAGAGTTTTTTTTTGTAAATGTTTTTTTTTGGGGGGTAAAAGTTTTAACAATCATATTTGTTCATATATATACTTGATAAATGATGGTTGACGACTAGTTGGGGGACCAGACTAACCAAAACTAATTGGGGATTATCACAATCCATGACTGGGGAATCCCGATCAGTCTATCAATCAACCAGTTTTTCAAGGGACGACGCCTCTCGGGTTTCGGTCACACTGCGATCCATCTCAGGGATGATCGGGGCGGGGGTACAACCATGGGCATTGGAAAAAATGTATTTTTTGGTGCTGTCAACAGCGAAAAATCATGCCAAGATGATGGATGTTTATTTATCGGTGTTGCAAGTGCAATATCATAGGGAGATGATGGATGGTCGATAGTGATATGAGTATCTGAGCAATTAGCTATTTCACCGCCAGTAGGGGACGGACATAGTCCCTTTCCTTGTAAGAATGCACCGTCCATGAAATCCTGATTTTCTATTGGGTTCTAGTCATTCCAGTTTGGACTCTGCACGGGGCGAAGCGTTCAACAAGTTCTATCGGAAGTATCTGCGGATCAAATGGAAAGGTCAAACAAACTGGACGTTCTACAATTAGATTTTTTTGGTTTGCAGAAACGCAATTTTGGATAATTTTGGTTGCAATGTGCATGTGTTGATTTGTAAGCACACATTGTGCTGACGAATTCCTCATTCGGTTTGATCCAATGTCGGTTGTTATTGGTAAAGACCTCAACCTTTAGATAGGTCATGAGCAGTCCAATTTCTTGTTGAGGCCCAACTGCAGCTGGTACTCACACACGGCTTTCTGGAAAATCCACCCTTAATGGCTGGCGATTTCCCAGCCAGCCATGTTTGATTAGCCTATGTTGTTGGGAATGTCAGAAACTCTTGCCGTTAATATCAGGTTTCCGTGGTGTTTACCCCATAACTCTCCGATGAGTTCACCCATTTCACGGCGAGAGCCGACAGGCTCACTGCTCCATGAGCTCTGCCTCGCTGGTCTGCGGCTCAGCGACTTTGTCTTCAACTCCGTGATGGGTTGCGATCGCACGCCCTGGCAGGTGGGAACATGATATGGAACATGTGGGAACCACCCGTTGACGGCGCCGGAAAGAACGGAGATCTGGGGAGTTTGCTACGCAATGCTGGGCAATTCGCCATTGATATCCATGGCTTAGATGGTGAGAGCTGCCATGTTTGGGGCTAGCATCTTCAATATATTTCAATATCACAGAATGAAATCATCACCGTTGACTCTATTTTTCCCGAATGCGTAGCAAGGGGTCCCGTTTCACTCTGGGGGTCTGGGGGTTGAGGGTGTGTTCGCTCGACGTTGCCCAACCGTTCGCAACCGTTCGCAACCGTTCGCAGGTTTTTTTTTGGAGGTTTCAAACGTCGCGTTGCTTCTTTTCGCGTGGCAGGCGTGGCACTTCGTGACATTCAGACGTGTTTTGGAACGTGTTGGAACGTGTCGAAAGTCGTTTTGTGTGGCAGGCGCAATACTTTTGCCTCGTTTTCACCAGATGTGGCAAGCGCTGCACTCCACACTCCACACTCCACCCATTACACTTCACACTCCACACTTTACATTCCACACTTTACACTCTAAACTCCACACTTTACACTCCACACTCCACACTTTACACTCCACACTTTACACTCCACACTTTACACTCTACACTTTGCACTCCACACTTTAGACTCCACACTCCACACTTTACACTCTACACTTTACACTCTACACTTTACACTCCACAGTCTACACTCCACACTTTACAGTCCAAACTCCACACTTTACACTCCGCACTCTACACTTTACACTCCACACTCCACATCCACACTTTACACTTTAGACTCCACACTTTACACTCCACACTTTACACTTTACACTCCACACTGCACACTCTACACTCCACACTCCACAGTCTACACTCCACACTCCACAGTCTACACTTTACACTCTACACTTGACCCTTTACACTCCGCACTCTGGCACTTTACACTCCACACTCCTCACTCCACACTCTACACTTTACACTCCACACTTTACACTCCACACTTTACATTCCACACTTTACACTCTACACTTTACACTCTGCACTTTACACTCCCCACACTCTACACTCCACACTACACACGACACTCCCCACTTTACACTCCCCACTTTACACTCCACACTTTACACTCCACACTCTACACTTCACACTCCACACTCCACACTTTACACTTTACACCCCGCACCCCACACTTTACACTGTACACTCCACACTCCTCACTCCACACTCTACACTTTACACTCCACACTCCACACTTTACACTTTACAGTTTACACCCCACACCCCACACTTCACACTTTACACTCTACACTCTGCACTTTACACACTCTACACTCTACACTTCCCACTCCACACTTTACGCTCCACACTCCTTACTTTACACTCCGCACTCCTTACTTTACACTTTGCACTTCGCACTCCACACTCTAGACTGACCACTCCACACTCCACACTCTACACTTTCCACTCCACACTCTACACACACTTTACACGCTCCACACTCCACACTTTACACTCCACAGTCCTTACTTTACACTCCACACTCCAAACTCTACACTTTCCACTCCACACTGCAGACTGGTAACGGGGGGAAATATGTACAAGACTGTTCAAATAGACTATTGCAGAAAAGTGTTCTGCGTGACTGCATGTCCATGTGTTTGGACATCTTGACCATTAACATACGTGTGAGCATTCGGGTTCGCGGGCTGCATCTTTTTTGAGGTACCATCTACTTGATCCTCATGGCGCCCATCTAATTCATCAACCAGAATTTGTTGAGGATGTTGATGTAGAGTAGAGTGGACTCTATGAGAGCAGAACCGAAGACCGCTGGTTCTACAGATGGGCCGTATCCAACTATGGCGCCCTACGCATAATGTGTTGGCGATTGTTTGGTTGGCGGCTTGAAGCCTCACTCATCATGACCAATCTTTACTTCCAGCCGAACCATACCATGAGTTTGTGATGGTGAAATGCGTTGAATATTTGTTTCGTTATTTATGCGGCTTTGTCTTGTTGTTTTCATAGTTTTGGCAAGAGTTGGACCACTTGAGCAGGTTCTGACATGGTTTGCTGGGTGGTTTTTTTAGGAGGTGGGGCAGGAGGCCGTTTTATAGTGGTATATTTTCAGTGAAAACATGCTGGACCATATTCATATTATTCTCAGATTTTTGTGATAGAATATGATAGAATATTCCTCCAGTCTCTCGTTTTTCCCATTCTCAGCTTGAAGTTCTCTACCAACAGTTCTTGATCGCAGGTTGAAGGTCCAGCGAAAAACGCCCGGTGATGGTATGGCATTGTGGCACCATGCTCTAAACCATGCATCAGTAGGTTTCATTTCTTTGAAAGAGTTAAACCATATACAAACATATAGTACATATAGTTCTAAACCAGCGGCTTGTACCTGTTGTATCGTGTTGTTTCATTTCGGGCAACCCCCTGGACGCCCCTTGGGTTAGCCACGCCAGGTGGCCATGAATGTCTTGGACTTCCTGCAACAGCAGCAGATTCCACGCAGCGAAGTCTCCTTGGGCTCCGCCATTCAAGCGTGCGAGGTCATTGGTAAAAACCTTTCATTGATCATACTTTGGCGGAATGAACATCCATTTATGTCCATTTATCAGTTCAAATTAGGGTTGAGACATGCCATGGCACGAGGAGGCTTCTAAGTTATGGCATTGTGAGGCGAGCCTGGCCTGGCTCAGTGTCCTCAGCCTGCTGCCTGCACTGCCTGCCGCTGGTAGCGTCATCGCCTGCAACGCAGCGCTGTCAGCCCTGGCACAGGGCTCCCAGCCGCAGTTGGCGCTGCAGCTGCTGCAGGAGCTGCCAGTGGAGCGGTGGAGCGTCGTCACGCTGAATACCTTGATGCCTTGGGCCGAGGGTGTCATGGATGGCAGCGAGATGGAGACGGTGTGGGATCCCGAGCTTTGGCAACGAAGTTTTGGGATTCGACCCAACTTGATGAGCTATAACGAAGCGGCGCTTCTATCGGAGTGCCTTGGTGTGGTGAGTAAGTCACAAAGGGAAACATCGATGGAACATGTGCGAAAATGATGGAGCATTAAATATCATTAAATATCTAGATCTAGCTTTCATGATAGCTCAGAGTAGCTGAGACTTCAGAAGCACCATTACCAGTGCCACCAGTGCCACCAGTAGGAGCATTTTTTGGTTCAAATCCCTAGGTTCAATTCCAGTTTTTTGAGGCAAAGAGTCCCTTTTTGATGTAAGATCTTCATGTGGTTTTGGCTCAAAAATATCACGAGGTGAGGCGGTGAGGCCCCAAAGTTATGTATATATATATTATATTATGATATTATTATATTTAAAAAATAATAACTGATATAAACATACGTTACATGCATATAAACACAAAGTCATATAATTATACATATATATATATGTTTGGATAACCCCATTATAGCTATATTTCCCCCCAATTCATCAATCCAAGACACGAGTTGAGCAAGTGAACTTTGCGTCAGCTCAGACAGGGGACCTCACCTTGTGATGAAATCCATGTCACTGTGAACTGAGTGAACTGAAGTCAGATGAGAAATATGAGAACATTTCATCTATGAAATACATTTCAACTAGGAAATCCTATGACAAGTCTCTATGACTGAAGCCTTGTAAAGGGACATCCCTATGACATCCTCGTTTTGAGGAGATGTGGGGATTGCTTTCAGCTGGTGCGCCGCCTGCGCTTGCTGCGGCGGGAAGCGCTACGCTGCTACCGGGGCGGCCCAAAAATCGCTCGAGAACGGGGGAAAGATGGTGATCAGATAACCCAGCAAAGATTGGATGTGATGAACTGCTTCGCAGTTGAAAAAAAGGGGTTGTCCATGAAATTAGCTGATGGTTTTTTTTTGGCGTGTGTTTCATACTTACATTTCTTAGTATAGTGTTTGGCAAAACTTACATTTGGGTGAGGGTGGATAGAAATGTCAAGACTGTTGATGGGCCCTTCAAACAATATTACTTCCCATATCACTACTTCCCGTCCAGGCTGACATGGAAAGTTAAAAAAGGCCCTGATGGGGAACATCGGAACATCCCCAGATATCCACAGCTTGCCGCGTCAGAACATCGAGAGAGCCATTGGAACCATGCATGTTCCACCAAAAACAGAGAGGTGGTTTCCTGTTATGATCAAGCACTCACATCACCGATGTATGGAAGGTTTGCCTACAATTGCCATCCAAATCACCAACACGCAGGTAAACCAATGTATATAGATATGCTTGCATTGATGGTATGAGTCGCAAGCGTTTTGTCATGGGCCGGGTCAAGACTTTAAGATACCAATGCAACATCCATTTTTTCCAGCTATATGTCAGGTGCCAGGAGTCCAGGATGTCGATCAGTAGCCATGAAAGGCATGTTTTCAACTCAGCCGCCCATTGGCTCATCGGCCGCCGTCGATCTTCGTCCGAGTCGAAACAAATCGCTGTGTCTCGCTGCCTGCGGGCGTCATGGCAGCGGGCCAGGTGGCTTCTCGAAGCCCATGGTAACCCATGGGTACCAGCAATGGGGATTTCAGCCCAAAAAGGGGAGATCTGACTCAGAAATGCTGGTTGGCCATGTGATCTATGTAATATCTATATGATCTATGTATATCTACGTGCTTTTGAAGTAGCATTTGGGGTGGGCATCCACTGGTTGGAGTCAGTGTAGGTCGCTAGGTAGCTCTGTTCCTGCAGCTGTTTGGACAAGACCAAACAAGAAGATAGTAAAGCCATGTAATACAGGAAGTGGAATCCTGGAAACGGCTTGGAAGATGATAAAACCAAAGGGGAGGAGCCTTGGAGGCTTTTGATGAAACTGTGTGGCCCAGGTCTCTGAGGGTTTGTACCGGTAGATCTACTGAGCCACCTGGGATTGGAACACGCTTGCCGATGCATCAATATGACTGTAATACGAACTAGCTATGGGGAATCATCTTGCATACTATGTTTTCTATGTTAATAATATGAAACTAGCTCATAAAACATAAGAAAACAGCTAATAAATGTTTTACCGTGCGTTTCACCAGCGTCCGTGTAAACAGCTTCTTCTGAGCTTCCTATATTTTGCCAGGATCCGCTGCCAATGCTGCTTGGGCAAAAGGGCAAAGCTGTTGGTCCTCTTGGTGACAAGCTGTCAGACGAGTCTTTCTTGAACCAGGTGGGGTGGAAGTTGTGGAAGTTTGCACATCTTCAGGTGGCTAGCACAGTCTGATGAAGAGATACAAAGAGCAGGCAACAGACGATCCACCATTCGATCCACCATTCGATCCACCATTCGATCCACCATTTGTAGATGATTTACCTCATAATGTTGTCATACTCGTGTGATAAAACACCGTTGTCGGCTTTCATTTCCAGGGACAGGTTGATGACCCGTTCAACCCAAGTTCCGCCAGATGCGTTTGTTCTATGCCTGTGCTGCTGGTGATCCTGTGAACGCCAAGAGTCTTTTGGAGACCACGGATGCTTTCTCTCAGGGGGTCGTGCTTCGGGATGCCCATCATCGCGGCCGGAAAGTCTCGCAGTTTCTTTTAGGTTTTTGGGAAATCATCGAACTACCATCTGGTTATTTAACATAGCCATGGTATAGATGGCCCATAGAAATAATAGATGGTTTACCTATTACAAATGGTGATTTTTGATGGCTATGTTAAATAACCAGATGGTAAATGGTGGATTTTCCAGACATGTTACTGGAGGGTATACAGTATAGCTTGAGTCTTGATTGCTTACTTTATTTGAGATGCCTACATCCTGCAGACTCGAAGTGATCAAGATCCTGATTTACTACTGTTACATACAGTTAAACCCTCGTGCTGATCAACGCGGTAGCTCCGGTGTCTCTCACAGTGTTCACAAGTCATCCTTGCCTGTGAGATCCTGTGAGGATAGGGGGGCTGGCACCGCAAATTCCAAGGGGGATCAATAAACAATCTCACATGGTACCCAAGAATGACCATCCACTGAAATGTAGGGCCATCATTTCTACAGCTTTCCACGTATTTTCAGGGATTTTCAAGCAGTACCACCTGGTGTCTCACACCAAGCAGCTGGGTGGATCCCTAAAGTTGTTGGATTTCGTTCATCCCTGATTCTGCGACTTCCCAATTACTTATCCCCCAACGTAGAAGGGGTAAACTTGAGGTTCTTAATGGGAAAATCATCTATATTTGCGGTTTTTCCAGCTAGCGACCCTTGCCAACCCCAGGGTCCACGTTGCCCAGGATGTCAACTTTCGAGATCACTATGGCCGAACGGCCTTGCACAGTGATCCCCGGTTGCGTTGGAAGGGCGGCCGTACCTAGGACTGGCTATAGCCGGTGATAGCTTCTTGGGAAATACTCAAGGGGCCAAAATCTTGGGACCACGAGTTCCAATTTTTGGGGTCTACTAGCTTCTGGTAATGCAAGCTATGATACGGAAAATCGATGAAAATCGCCTACTGGATTTATGACTTATGAGGATTTACCTATAATCCTATAGAAATGGTGAGTTTCCATAGCATCATAGCGATTACCAGAGTAATTAGTCAAAGATGGGAAGCCAAACTTCTGTGTCCAAACTGTGTCTGTGCGGGCGCAGTTTTGGTGCTTAGGCCTGCGGCTGCACCAGCGCGGGGGCCAAGGAAACGGTTAAGCTGCTGTTGAAGAAGAAGGCGGATGTGAATGCCGTGGACCCTGGGCGTCACCGAGGGGTGAGGCCATGCAACATGGGGGTTCAATCGATGGGGATTTGAGCCAAGAAATTGGGGAGTATAACGGGATTAATATGAGCTTACAAATGGGATACAATGGATTATCAACCCTGTAAATGGCGATTTTCATGGTGTTTTGGACCGTGAAGTTGTGAGGGTAATGGGATTACAACTAGGCAAGTTGGTTGATCAGGACAACTTTGATTTGTGGTGGATACATGTAACAACGAGGTAAACCCAAGAATAAACCATCCCCAGAATCACCATGCGGGTGGTAGAAACCAACTTACAACTGATTGACCTGGATGCCGGGTAAATCTTGGTGAAAGGTAGGCTTATCATTGATTGTTTGCCTCAATTCCGTTGACTTTTGTGCAATCGTACTAACAAACGGGTGATATTCTAGCCAACAACAATCGCCAAATGTATCCAAATGTGATTCTTGTCACCTTATCTCCTTGCATGGACATCGCCCGCTGTCAGTCGCAGAAAACTGCCCGTGGAAGGCATGGCATGTCATACTGTGCATGGAAGAAATCCTGCACCAGTTGGTGACTATTGGTGCAATGAAACACTGTAAACAATGGCATGATAGCGGGTGATAGATCATCTACCAACTGGTGCAGGGTGTGATTGATGACGATTAATCGATTGATGTAGGACCTCTACAATCATCAAAGTCAAAAGATCATGGACTTTCCAATCTCCCATTTCCAGTCTAAAAGCCACCTATACATGGGATAAACCCTGGTGAGCCATCTTTGCCATGGTCAAAACAGGGACGTTCCCAAAAGAGGGTGGTGACCCCCCAATAAAAGTTTTTTTTGAATAATAAATACCAGGATGGTGATCCCCCATAAACATATATTTATATTTTGTTATTTTTTCAAAAACACACACACATATATAATATAAATGATGCGGTTTTAAAATAATAAACCACCACGTGTTTTAATAATAAATACCAATTAAGGAAAGGGGGTTCTATGGTGGGAATCCTATGGGCCCAGGACTCGAGCGGCATGTCAGCTATCGACATTGCCGTCAAGGTGAAGAACGGCTCCATCCGAAGGATCTTGGAGGACAGCCGGTGGTGGTAGACATTATATATAATTATATACAATCAAAGGAAGTTGGGAAGCAATCTTCCGAGTTACGGACAAATAGAATTGTGAGACTTCACATAGCATTACATAACATAACAATACATCAACGAAGGGTGGTGTGAGACTTTACATCACATAACAGTACATCACATAACAAGAACGAAGGGTGATGACCTAGGGAATTGAGGACGAAGGGTGATGACGAAGGGTGATGACGAAGGGTGATGACGAAGGGTGGAGACGAAGGATGGTGACTGAGGGAAGTGGTGACTAAGGGAAGTGGTGACTAAGGGAAGTGGTGACGAAGGGAAGTGGTGACGAAGGGAAGTGGTGACGAAGGGAAGTGGTGACGAAGGGAAGTGTCTGGATCTTTTCAGGGTCAATCGGTTCTCCCTTGGTGTTCTGCAACGCAGAAATGCGAATCGCATCGTAATCGTTGCATGGATGTGTACGTGGTGCTGCAAAACGCATTGTAATAGCTGCATTAATGTTGAATGGGACTTGTGTTATTGGGGAGGAAGCCGGAGCACGAAACCGTGCGTTTTTCCTGGGCGATGAAGGGTACCTTGTGTGTGTGTGCGGCGGTTTGGATCGTTTCGAGGTCCATCGGTTCCTCCTTGGTGTTCTGCAACGCGTGGTTGTTCATGTGTGCGTAGTTCTATGCGCTTGTTGAATCTCTGGTTGCAGATCGCAGTGTAATGGCCGCATGGTGGTTGTCATGCTCTGTTGCCATGTGCGTAGATACATGCGGGTTTGCCACGTGATGCTGCAAAACGCATTGTAACGGCTGCGTTGCTGGGTGCCGCGGCTGCATGCGTAATACTATTGTCTTTTGCAGCTGGACATTGTAAATCGTATTGGAGTGGCCGCATCAAGGCTGCGATTGTGATTTGTCCGCTGGTGATTTTCCAGTCAAAATTCCTTTGAAAAAGTGCTTCAAAATCGTGTTTTTTTGTTTGCGTTGGCGCCGAGATCCGGTTTTGGAGCCATTGCATGTAGTTCCATGGTGTTTTGCTACTCAATATCTCGATATCGCATGGTAATGGTTGCGTCGAGGTTGCTTGGTGTCGCGACTGCATGCGTAACATTATTATTGTCTTTTGCAGCTGGACATTGTAAATCGTATTGGAGTGGCTGCATTAAGGCTGCAATTGTGATTTGTCAGCAGATTTTCTCATATTTTCTCAATTTTGGCGCTTGCGATTTTCCTTTCAAACTTATTTTTCAAAAGTGCATAAAAATCGTTTTTTTCCTTCGGCGCAGATCCGGTTTTGGAGGTGCAATTTTTCACACCGTTGCGCAAGTTTTGTAGTACAATCGAGTACTGGGCACGCTGGGACACACTTTGGGCAAGCTTTGTGGCACAAAGTAGTACTGGGAAGTAGTTTGTGCAAGCTTTGTAGTACAAAGTAGTACTGGGAAGTAGTTTGTGCAAGCTTTGTAGTACAAAGTAGTACTGGGAAGTACTTTTTGCAAGCTTTGTAGTACACAGTAGTACTGGGAAGTGGTTTCTGCAAGCTTTGTGTACAAAGAAGTACTGGGAAGTACTTTGTGCAAGCTTTGTAGTCTAAAGTAGTACTGGGACGTGCTAAGCTCCTCTCGGTCCGAAATGCCCAGGTAGCTAAGGCAGAGCCCCGGTCCCAACTCCGGGGGCCATGTCGTACTTTCTGTGCTGTGCTGGCAGGTTGGGGCGAGGGTGAGTGGGGGGCGCGACCCCCACTCTGACCTGAAAATGCAACATCCAACAACAGCAAGTGGCAACCTTCGCGCTGGGCCCGCACGGAAAAGAGCAGTTCTAAGAGCACTACGGCATTTCTATCTTTGGGGATGGGTGAGGTACCATGGACAACTGATACAGCAAGAGTCACACTTGGCTGCCTTTTTTCCAAAGGAATCTGTGGCTGCGGTGAAAGCGATCCTAGGTACTGGTAGAAAGTGGTGGTATCAACAAGATCCTCTCCTCCCTTTTAGGCGCAATGATGGGCAAGTGCACTTACCTCAACGCAGTTCAGCCACGCCAGCAGCTTGCACACAGGGTCTCACACTGAGAATGCTGACGTACAACTGTAGGACTCTGGGCTATACTCAGGCTAGACTGGTTGAAATTGCTGAGGATTTGCATGTTCGTGGCATTCATGTTGCGGCTTTGCAATGCACCTGTTGGAAACAGGACCAGGTCCGGCATGAGTGGATAGTGAAAGGGAGACATGGGCAACAGCTTTTTCATTGTATTTCTTGGAGGCGTGATCCAAGCAATGTACAGACTGGAGTGCTTCTGCTGCTTAGCTGCGCTGTTTTTGACAAGGCACACATCATCTGGAGACTAGATCCTGGCCACAGCGCTGAAGTTTGCTTTGGCGGAGTGAGGGTTGTTGATCGGAAAAGTCGCCAGCCACATGATCACACCTTCATCACTGCTTATGCCCCGCAAGAAACCGCGGCTGATGAGGAGAAACAAGTTTTTTTCACTCAACTGCAGCAAACACTTCATGGACTACCTGCACGAACACGAGTATGGCTACTCGGTGATTTCAACGCACACATCGGGCACGATCTCTGTTCTCCTTCAGTCGGCACCTTTGAGCCTGAAGCAAGCAATGACAATGGCTTTAACATTGCTCACCTGTGCGCTGCCACCGGCCTTGCCTTGGCCAACACTTTTCACAACGCGGGTTCAACCTGGTGGTCGCCAGACGGCAATACTTCGCACAGACTGGATTACATTGCCATCCCTATTGCTTTTCGGCGTCGTGTTGCCCATTGCCGAGTCAACAAGAATTTTGGACAACGATGGCAAACTGCAGCTGTTCGAGATCATTGGCCCTTGGAAGTGCATGCGCGCCTCCCTCAACAGTGGCCTGCCAAGAGGCAAAACAGCAATACCATCTCTTGGAATGCGCATGCGCTTGGTCGAGCTTCAAGGGATCCTCTAGTTGCTGCACCCTTCCTTGCTGAAGCCCAACAGACCGTGGCAGCGCTGCTCCAAGAACCATGGTGCAATTTGCAGAATCTGTGGACAAAGTGCGCTAAAAACCTGATGACTGTATCTCAAAAACATTTTGGGCGACCAAGGGCGCAACACAACCCTAAACTCCTTCCTGGAACTTTTGCGCTGCTTGAATGTCGCAGGGCGACCATGCACATTTTTTTGGAAGAGGTTGGCATGCTTCAGCAGATGCCGCTAGCTTCACAGCAGCTCTGGCGGATGCGCTTAGTACTCCGAGCTCTTCAGCTCAATGGCAGAATCGAAAAAGCACGCAGGGCAATCAAAACCGACGTCAAAGCCTGGAACCAAAACCTGGTTCGCGAATTGGACGCTGCTCTGGACACCAAGGACCACAAGACTGCTTGGAGTGTGAGCCGCCGACTAGCCGGCAGACTCTACAAACAGCCGCGCCAACCACCCATGCACAAGCAAATTTGCAAAAGGGCTTGGCTAGAACACTTCAGCACGGTCCAGCTGGCCACCGAATCTGCAGAGGCAAGGGCAGTCCCAGGGACTTTAGGCAACCGTTCTCTCCCTGGTCCTCTTCAGCCAATGTTTACCGGAGAAGAAGGATGTAGAGCACTGGCCCAAGCTGCGCAAAAGATGCTTCGTGGGAAAGCAACGCCTCCTGGCACATTGCCGGTGGAAGTATGGTCGCTACTACTCCAAGGCCAAAGTGATGTACACCCCGGGCTTCTGCTGATGCCGGTTTTTGAACTGATGCAGCAGAGTGCTGGGACGAACTTTGAAGAGTGGTGCGCCGGCCATGGATGCCCAATCCCCAAACCTGGCGGAGATGCGTCGCCCAATGGCCATCGGGTAATCAATTTGCTTGACCCGATCGGAAAGGTGTTCTACAAAGCTGCCTTGAATCTGCAAGCTGACCCACCGCTGCCTCATCAATATGGTTATTCGGCACAGAGATCACGCCGTGACGCCATCCTGCAACTGACAGTTCTTCTGGAACGTTTGCAACAAGAGCGTGTGTGCACCAGTGCCAACTTGTATGACCTGACGAAGGCCTTTGACATGTTAAGCAGTCAAAGCGTGGTTGCAAACTTGAGCAATGATCTTGCCTTGCACCCAACTCTGAAGGCTCTACTCATAGACATGCAGGGAAGGCTGCAAGTCAAGATGCCAATTACAGGCCAAGCGCCGCTCACAGTGAACCTTGGCACTGGGGTTTTGCAAGGTGGTGGCACAGGCCCTCGACTATTTCGCAGAGTCTATGATGATGCCATCCAAGATTGGCAGACACAAACCTGGTCTGATTCAAGGTTGACTTGTGTAGCTTATGAAGGTCAGGAACTTGACCTTTCAGTTGCTGCTTATGCTGATGACTTGGTGAGAGTAGAAGCTGGCAGAGACATTCGCAGAGCAGAGCGCCTGACAGTGGACCACACAGACTCTCTGAAAGAAGTGCTGCAAAGACACCGCTTGGAGTTAAATCTGCGAAAGAGCGAATCCCTTGTAGCAGTGCGAGGGCGTGGCGCCTACAGCGCGGCTGAACGCGTATTTGCTGGTGACTGGGCGGGCCCGCCTCTCAAACAATCTGTGAAATACTTGGGTGCCCACATACAAGCTCAACTTTCCATGAAATTGGAAATAACCAAACGCATTGCTGCAGCGAGGAACAGTTTTTCTTTGTTTTCACGTTTTTTCCGAAATTCGCGTGTACCACAAAGGCAGAAAATACAAGTTTTCCATGCTGTAGTGAACGAAGCCTTTCTTTCAGCTCTCGAAGTCAGAGCCTTGAGCGAAAGTGACATACAGAGGCTTGAGTCTGCAAGGGGGCTGCTTCTGCGCAGAATTTTTGGACGCAATGGATTTGGTGGTGTTCGTGGTGTAGGTGGGCACCGCTCTGTGCCTCTCTCATTGCTTCGAAGACTAGCTGGCTTAGCTGAAGTACGAGAAGAATTGCGGACCCGACGGCTCCAATGGCTTCGTGCTTCACTTGCTGCAGAGGCTGGTGGGGAAGTACGCTTGGATCTTGCTGCTCTGTTTGGAAAAATGGAGTGTCAAGCTGATCCTCCTGTGAATGCACATGGACAACTGACAGCTGCTGCGCCTTCATTCCTGCGTCTTCTGGCAGCTGATCTACGAGCTGTGGTGCCTGACTGGAACGGTTTTGTGCTGGGATGGAAAGATGTTTTTCTGGCTTTTCCAAAGTCTAAGTTGCGAAGCCGATTGCCGCTGCAAGAAAACCAGCGACTTGAACCACCTCAAGCTCAACCCATGAGAAGCTTGAGTGCTCTTCCTCCAAGAGGATCTCCGTTGGAAATTGCTGCTTCGCTTTGCATCCTAACTGATGGAACTTGCCCTGAGACGCTTGACTCGGTTTCAGCAGAAGACTGGATCAGCGGGGTCTACTGTGGACAATGTGCGGCTGGCCCGTGGCATGGGAAAAAGTCGTTCTTCCAACACATTGTCCGGAAGCATGCAGTGAGAAACGTGCTGAATAGCAAGACATGTCCACTGTGCACAAGAGCTTTCACTGAAGTTTCAGCATGTCGAAGACATGTCAAGAATCAGTCCTGCGGAACAATTGTGAACAACCATGGAGCAGCCGGTGCCATAGCTGGTTTGCAGCACAGGGCTCGAGCAATCTCTGAATCAGCTTCGCGCCTTGCTCACCCTAATGGCAGGGCTAGCTTTCATGGCGCCGCTTCAAGCTGTCGCGGCCAGCTCTCCGCAAGGAGCCAGGCCGAAGCGCCCTCGGTCCGAGGGAATCAGCGCCAGTGGCAGCATGGATCAGCAAGTGAAGCAGCTGACTGCTCAAATGCAAGTGCTCATGAAGGTTGTCAGCCAGCACGACAGAGACCTTCGCGAGCTAGAAGCATGGAGCTGCCACACATTTTTGCTCAGCAAAGAGAGCGCCTTGGCCAAGCTACTGCTGGAAGCAATGCAAACCTGGAAGTCACAGGTGCCGGAAGCAGGTCCTCACCCTCTCGGAGCTCCGAGATGGACGGTGGCAGGCACAGTGGCGCAAGCTCTTCTGCAGGACACCGCCTGTGCCGACAAACTTGGCAAGTTTCGAGTCTTCCACGAGAATTTGAAAGAACTGCCAGACATGGAGAAATCTGTGCAGCTGGCCATGGCCAAAGAAACCAGGGATCACAAAGTCTTGTTGAAGATTCGCCCGCAACTGATCAGCCAAGATGAATGGAATGAAGCATTTGCCGTCCTCAGTGAAAATGTGCGGCAAAATGGAGGGGAAGCCAAGACAAGTGCAGCTCCACCAAGCCCACTGATTCGCCAATTAAATGTCAAATAGGCAGTGCAAATACGGGGTCTTTCCCCCGTGCCAAGCCCCCGCAACTGACGGGGTTGCAAGTGTGCTCTGTGGCGCTTAATTTTCCATTTTATTTGATTTTCGCCCTACCTTATCCTTAGGCCAAAGATCTCAATTTGAGACCATCCTTTTTTTGCGTTAGCAATTGGCTTCGCTGGATGGTTCACACACCACACGAATGTGTGCGCAACTTAAGTTGTGCGGAGCCCCGGCCCGAGTTTCACTAGGAGAGAGTGGACTCATGCGGACAGTCAACAGTCAACAGTCAACAACTGGGACGTGCTTTGTGCAAGCTTTGTGGTACAAAGTAGTACTGGGAAGTACTTTGTGCAAGCTTTGTAGTACAAAGTAGTACGGGAGTGTTTTGTTCAAGTCTTGTAGTAAGAAAATATAGTTGTTCGCTCCAGCTTGTTGCAGCAAGTGCCATTTGACGTAAAGAAGTTAAGGTGTGCTCGGATGAGATGAAAGTAGCTGAGAAGAATTTAGGCGAAATCTGAGAAGAAAGAAAATGAGATGACAAGAGCTGAAACGAGGTCAGATTAGGCGAGAAGAGCTCAGATGAGATGAGCTGAGATGAAGTTTGAAGTTGAGATGCAACGTGAAGGGCGAAGCTTTGGAACGCAAAGCACTTGGCGTTGCATTGCATCGGGGTCGCGCGCAGGTCGTGCTCTTGGACAACAAATATGCACGCACGGGCCTAATGCAAGTTTTATAGATGAGAAAGTATATATAACACCAAGGCAACTTCCGCCCCGCCTCGTGCGGGCATTACTGGTATAACTGTAAACTAGCTATAGTGAATGGAGTTTATAAGATTTTATAAGCCAACTTCATCGGAATTCATGAGGATTGATGGGAATAGTACTCGCCGGTATCATCAAACATAGCTGGCCGGAGAATCGCAGAACGTCTCCCATGGAAACTCCATTGCAGGTTTCCCAGCTAGTTATGTTTGATTACGGAGGGGTACCTGGCAAATAATACCGCAAAAAAATCGTGCGGTGATCCCATTTATACGTGGATTATTATGCTACTTACTTGCCATTCATATCATCCATTCATGAGGTGGGGTGATCCAAAAAAATGTGTACACCCACATGTATTTTTAAACACCCTGCGGTAAACCAACCATTTAGAGCTGATTATCTCAAAACTCAGTGATTAAAAGAACAATTTTCTTATGTTTTCCCTGTTTGATCGCCATGAATTGGGTGGTAGGGGCCTCGCACCAAAATTTGGGTTTGAAATTCGACCCTTGATGGCAATTTTTCATTGAAAAATGGGCTCCCAGTCCTTAGATACTTGGCTAAGAAAAACGACTGTATTTCAGCGGTGTGTTGGGCCTGTGGCCTTGTTTTTTTACAAAAAAAGAGTCCTGAAGGCGTGGAGGTTTATAGATTGTTTGTAGCTGGGAGCCACGTTTGCCGAAGGATAATTTCATGAAAATTATGATCAATCAAAATTTGGAACCTATTTCTGGGACGATGATTCTGATGTGTACGATGTCTCCATTAAATAAAGATGGCTAGAAATGAGGATCATGGGGAGACATGCGGATACAACATATTTGAACGCAACGTGTGGTGGGGTCCAAACTTGAAACGGCTGACTATGTCAACCCCCGGTGTGCCGTTGGGTTGTCTTATTGGAGACGACATGGATGAATCTTTTCGAGGGTCGGGTTTCGCTGTTCATGCAATTCTTCAAGCACCTTTCTTCTTTTCCGGGATTTGAGACTGATATTCTCCCCGCTGTCTGCTAAAATCAGAATTTAACTTGGTTTGTTTAGTCAGTAAACCCCAAAAAGATAGAAACATGAATTATAGATAAATGATGATAAATGGAGTTATAGATCGATCGACAGATACGCAGATGGATGCATAACATATCATTACATAAAGAATAACAAATGGAAGAAAAACAACTAGACAATTCAATTTTGTAGTTTTCATCTTGGATAATAACAATATAGACAGTTATTGGAAGGTGTCCCTCCGAGGCAGCCATATCCCCATAGCGGGCCCAACATTTCAGGTAGTGACAGATGATGAAATCTGATAATTTACCCAGATAAATCATAGATATTATATATTATTATATGATATCATAGTTTTTTCATGTTTTTTCATGTTTTTCCATCCAAGGGATGCAAGGGTTCAAATCTATCCAAGGGTCCAAACTTAGGGGCCAATTTCGATCGTGGTTATGGACTGTCATGGATGCAAGGTAAGCAAGAAACAGCTACAGGTTTGGATGCTTCCGGTTCAGATATCATATGATACCTGTTTAAAAGTTTGAATATGTTCAAAACACTCATGCAAAGGTTTTTCACCAATTTTGAGTTCCGCGGCCTTTCAGAATTCTATCTTGAACATGTACCAATCTTAGATTAAAAGTCCTTTCAGGGGATTCATTTTGCCCATATTCATTTTTTCCCCAAAACTTTTGCGCCAAAATCTTTCGAATGAATTTTGCGAACGATTTTGGTGGCGGAACGAATTTTGCAAAAGATTTTAAGCGGAACGAATCTTGCGAAAGATTTGGCGGTGGGGCGGGGTTTTGCGAAGAATCAGGGGTGGTTTTTTCTCAAAATTTGACATTCTGAAACATGTTTGTTCTCCTGGAATTTAGAAGGCTGGATTTTTTTCAAATTTAAGCCCGCACAGCATTCATTTTGCCCCAGGTACGCAGAAAATTCCCCTCGACTGAGAGGCAATGAGTTTGAGTCTCAAAGCAGGGTCTTCACGAAACCATTTTCCAAGAAAAAAACTGAAAGATCTCCAAAATCCAGGAGAAAAAACATGTTTCAGAAGGCAAAGTTTTGAGAAACGCAATCTTTCTCAAATTTTGTGATTTTGAGAAAGATCCACCCCTGATTCTTGGTAAAATCTGGGCCAGCAGAAACCCACCAGGACCAATTCGACATTTTGCAAACAAAGAATTAGAGGGGACACATGGGGATACATGGAGCAGGGTTCGCGACGTTTGAAAAACACATGAAACCCAGCTGCAGGTGGTTGCTAAGTCAGTAAAAATGTTTCGTCCGGAACCACCCAGAACCCCAAGATGCAGACACCGTGCCAGTCGCCAATGGCAGAAACCCAACATAGGCTGCAGTCGGCGGCCCCACTTCCACTACCCCTTTGGTTATTCAACGCAACCATGGAAAATCAATGTCTTTAATAGGTAAATAATCATAGATCACCTATATATGGGCAATTTCCAATAGCTATGTTAAATAACCAGAAGGTAATATTTTTCGCAGAGGTTTTTTCCCACCAGCACTCGTAACCGTCAATAATCAGATGTGTGGATTTCACCAATTTCCATTGAAGGTGAATTATTAATAGCCAACATATAATTAATGATTCGAATTATGTAATCGAGACATCCAATTCTCCAATTAACAGTAAGTCGTGATGTCAGGTGGTATTCACCTTCATCATTGGTTGTTGATTCCCTCGCCCTGTTATTAATATGTTTGGCACTATTGACAGTGATTTCAATATTAATCAACTTCAGTCATCATAGTCTCAAGGCTTCAATGTGTCTCCATTGGCATCCCATCCGCTAGGAGAGGGGTGCCGAGCTTGAAGCCATGCTGGAAAGGCAAGGCCGAGAGAGTGCTTGGCTACTGGCTGCCTCAGAGATTCTTGGCGGTGACGTTGGATGGAGTAGATCCATAAAAAAGGGACTGACTACCCTCTGGTAAACGTTAACAAAAAACTATGGAACATCACCATTTTTCATGGGAAAACTCACTATAAATGGTGATTTTCAATAGCTATGTTAAATTACCAGAGGGTAACATGATTTAACCAACAAGCGATGGTGATGTAACGGAATTCAAAGAGTTGGGTTTCCAACTGTTCTTTTTCTGGAGGGGTTGCCAGAGGTCAAAAATTGTGGCGGTTATGTAGATAACCAACCACTTGCACATGGATGAATTGCTAGTGAATATAAACGCCAATAACCGCCACATTCACATGGATGCGAAATTTCATTTTGTTTGGTTAGATTGCATGAACGACGCCCACACAGCGCACTAGTAAGTCCAAGAGTTGAAGCAAGGTTATGAGAATATGGCGGGCTGAAAGAAATAAATGAATAAAATGAGGAGAGAGATGCCAATATAAGATTTGATATTATTTGATCTTCCATAACCGGCAGACACCAATGGAAAACCAGCCATATAATAGATTGCTGGACAATCAGTTTGGAAATAGAATGATAATCGCTTGTTATTAGATAGATAGTCGGGTTTGTTCACTATTAAACAGCAATATAAATCGATGGGAATATGTGAATAGAAATTACGCACTATGATGGGACAATTCATTTGGTATGATTATTGATTATTGGATGTACAGCGGCAATATGATGAGATTGGATATGCTTGGCAGGGTTGGCGGACTTACCAAAAAAGGAGGTATCCGTGATGCGGACTTCCAAATTCATGGGATGCGCAGCCACAGATTTCAATTCTAACTACCCTCTGGTAATTTAACATAGCCATTGAAAATGACCATTTATAGTGGATTTTCCCATTAAACATGGTGATTTTCCATAGTTTTTTGTTAACGTTTACCAGAGGGTAAACCGTGTTATAGGATCTACAACATCACCGTGGAGGATTCAATCAAAAAAAGTGGGGTTTCAACCAATAAAATGGACATTTAAACCATGAATCTTGGACATGCGGGACTTGACCCGATGTAAACTCCAAGCGTGTTGAGCAAATCATAGGAGGATGCGATCCCAGATGTGGATGATGTGGATGAAAGAAACCTCCCCCAAAAGAAACACCCTATATAATCCTATATATTTCTTGGGTAAAACATGGTAAAACCCCATGTCATAAACCACCAAGTTTTCATATGTTTTTATTTTCCCCTCACCCCAATGAAAAAACATATGGAGATTGGCTCACCATGGATGTGGCTCATCGATTTCCCCCACGAGATGCCGAAATTTCCAACGAAATCATCTCAAATTGAGGGTTGCTATGATAAAACATGATAAAACCATATAAACCCAATAAAAAACCTAGCAACACATGATGATAATTTTCATCTATTTTAGGCTTTCTAGATTGATATTGATGATTAAAACATATTAAAATACCACATCCATTCCGGAAAAGATGACGAACTGGTTACTGCGACCAAAACTCCACCAGGTCAGATCATGATGTCAATGATGCATCGAAGCTGAGGCTGACGTTGCGGAAAGAACTGGCCAACACCTTGAAGAGAACCTGGGCTGCGACAGAGCGGGCGTACACACATTTTTCAATCGCAAAACAATGCACATATATACTGTATATATATATATCAAAGTATACACACATAGACACATATCCATCCATATTATACTTAAGTATACCATGTTTACGTACATATGTAAATGTAACGGTAATATTTTTATGTAAATGTATGTAGCCCCTTTGGGCATTTCGAACCAGTCACACCGAGCCACGAGGTGTGGTGCATTTGGCGGACTGGCACGGTACCAGCGTGGTGGTGAAATCGGTGAAGATGGGGCACAGGACAGCGGCATTCCTGTCCCTCCGGGACTCCGGTCACCAACATAGCTGACATATGGAGCTTCAACAGCCTGAAAAAAGGTAGATCATTTCTGTAATCATCGAACTAAATGGACCATAGATTCTATATAGCTATGTTAGCTTACTGGAGGGTTTGACACAATGACCATAAAAAATGGGGATTTCGTGGGATATTAAGGGGGGCGCAATGGGATATATGGAAGCCATATAGCTACATGGAACCAACGATTGCAGTGCTCAAAACCCCTGTTGGTTGATGATTTTGTGAAATGATAGGGGTTGTGCACCTAGCCGTGACATTGGTTACGGGTACTAACCATACTAACCAATCAGCCCAGTGTGGTCCCACATCATGGCTTCAATTGTTGCCTGTCCACTTGCCTTTAAGACCTTTAAGAGAAAACTCTTGTGCAGGATATTCTACAGTAAGATTAAGCATGTTGGGGTCCATGGTTTGGAACTGCGAGTTTTATTCTGCCTCTTCCAGAGTCGTGCCATGCGTGCAGGAATAGGTTGACGCACATGACTAAATCAGTCTTTTGGCTCTGGCTTAGACGGCTGATATTCAGCGGGACATGGCCATATTGAAATCGCTTCGACTTTCAAGAGTGCTAATACGATGGAAAACCGATTTAGATTGCAGTTGACAAATGCTGGCGCGTGCTGAATTTACTTATTTCTGTGTGTACATATATACATATATATATGTGTGTGTCGCTTATGTTTATTTTCGGGAATCCTGGTCAGGGTCTGCTTGGCGGTATGCATGCGAATCCCTGCACACTTGCCGGTCAATGTCTTTCTAGTGGAGGTCAGACCAAACTAGAAGGCCGACTTGCATCCAGTGACTATCAATGCCAAACCTTATGGTAATAAACCCAATGATAAGATATAGTATATAGTACCGATAGTAGTACCACTAATTCTACGATTTTTTGTCCAAGTGCAATCCCTAAATGGGAGCTTTATGGCATTGAATCCCAGATTCGCAACGAACAGCAACAGCTCAGTGCCCAGGCCAGCTTCTGCGACGATGACTCTGGGCCAGAACAAGAGGCCGACGACCAAATGGGACTCACCATCAATAGGGGCTGCCATGGCTAGATAGAAAAGTGATAGAAAGTGATGTTGGAGATGATGTTTTACTATGTTTTACCTATAGTTTCCAGGTGCGACTTGTCTACATTATAAAACTACTTGGGGGTTGCTATAATTTCACGTTCTTCCTTCGATTCTTGTTTGAACAACAAAATTTGGGGAGGTTGATTTGTGTCGGTTTCGTTCAGAAATCGGTTTTCCGTCCCATTTTTTTTTGGGGAAACAGTTGTCTCAGCAGTTTTAACCCAGCCACACTCAGAATTGAATTGGCTTACATACATTCCATGGATGCTCACTCATGGCTACTATTCCATTAGGCCCCGTGAGAATCACAGATTCCTGGCCAATCTATGCCAATAGCATTACCCTCTGGTTATTTAACATAGCCATGGAAGCCATGGCCCATAGAAATAGATGATTCCAGCAAACGAAACCTCCATTGATTTTGGGGATTTGACCCATGGCGAACTGTTAGTCATAACCAGATGGTAACACATACCCTCTGGTAATTTAACATAGCTATTGAAAATGGACATAGAAATAGCTGATTTTCCCATTAATAGCATGGTGATTTCTAATAGCTATGTAAACGTTTACCAGGCCGGGTACATTCCATGACCCATGTTTTCCCTCACTTCATCCACGTTGCCAGGAGATCTCGGATGAAGAGGGGGAGAATCTCCGACGAGCTGTGGAGGAGGACCCCTGCGCGATGTGATGCACAGGGGTTGGTCACTTATAAATCTATAATTTGCAGCCTCTGGTAAGATAACATAGACCCTGAAAGTTCGCTGAACTTTATACATTTTTTTGGTGGAAACTAATCTTCCAACCGATTAAAATCAGTCTATGTTAGGGTAGAGATTGCAGCTGAGAAGATGCACTTGCTTCGTGATGAAAAATCACATCACGAAAATTAAAAATGGACAGTTTTTTGTGTATGCACCATCTGGTTATGACTAACAGTTCGCCATGCTATTAATAGGTAAACCATCTATAAATAACCAGAGGGTAATACTTATCTCTGATTTGTCATAAACAGTAAACAGCAGTACATTCCATGATGGCATCATTTGAACCATTTATAGAGGTAATAGTCAAAACTAAGCCATAGAAAAAAGGGCCTAGTACATTGGCAATGTCTCATGGGGCTTTTGAGTTTTCCCCCCTTGAAAACCTGAAGCGGGGCAGCATTTTTGCAGCTTCTATAGCTCCATGGCAATGTCTTCAGGATTCTCTCAGTAAGAAGGGAAATTGAGACCGGAAACCATCCCAGCTGTGCCGGTTTCGGGGGCCAAGGAGCTTCTTCATGAAATTGAACTGGTCGCTTCCTTTCGACATCCTGACTTGGTGCCTTTGGTGAAACCTATGGTGAAGGGAATGTTCATGGATGTGAATTGCGAATGGGCTACAAACTACTTTTGCTGAAAATATGAGGGAATAGAATGCCCAACTTGTAATTGACTCCGGGAAAGCCTGAATTACTTCTCTGGTGCTCAAAGATGGATGGCCGGGAACTCCACGATTGCTCAGAGGGTGAGGTTACCTGAAGGCTGGCGGCTCCAAACTGACTTGAAGCCGCCAACCTTGGTGTTGCATTTAAAGGAACTGGATCTGTGGATGCAGAAAATGTTGTCACTTGCACCATGCCAGTTCCCTTCTTGTGGGTGCAGTTCCAGTCAGACGTTACAAGTGGATATAGAATGATACACACACATATCACATGTATATATATTACTATCGGCGTTGGCCTCTTTATTTGGGCCTTTCTGTTTTCTGGTGTTTGGACCCAGGAACTATTTGCAGATTCCCAGGAACTATTTGCAAAGTTCCAGGAACTATTTAAAAAACATGCGTTATATTGAGGGGAGTTAGCGAGGGGAATATGATGATGAGTTAGCACAGGCTAGCTAAAGGGAAAACAGCAACACAACACTAAAATGCCCTTAAGTGCTGAGTCTAACTGATTTCAGCTTACCAGTGCGTCCCTATTGTGGGTATATGGAAATGACAGTACTCATGAGTTATGGTATGGGATATGTGCATCCATAACATGCCAACATGTTGCCTTGCTAAACTTGGGAATCGCGTGCGTGGAAACAAGCGCCTCAGGCATAAAAATACCTCTTTGATTTGATAAATCAATCGGCCAATCATATCAAGAGCCATGTCAAATATACCAGAACCAAAAAAATATGGTTCAATGAGCCAACGAAGAAAAAACAGTACCAGCCGGTTTTGGTGTATCATTCAGCGGAAAAGATGCAAAATGCAATAAAATCATTTCCAGCCTTACTGAGCCATGGAAACCAATCAGGCCAAAAAAGAAAAAACAATTCACCCCCGGGCCGCCCAGAAGAAAACGCGGTGAATCAAAGTTCGCAGGAGCAAAAGCCACAGCGCACCCAGCCCAAGCTAACCCGTTGGACAAGCTTCACCAGCACCAGCACCACCAGCACCACCAGCAGTTCCAGAAAGGAAAGCACGCCCCAAAGTGTAGGCCCAAGCGCAAAAAACCACCACCCGTGCCAAAAAGCCAAGCAAACCCCAATCTGAGACCCAAAACAAACAGCGTTCCGTGTCCTGGGGAATGTAGCTGGTTTTACGGTATGTCGACTGCAACTGAATGTACTGTATATAATTTGTTTTCAGTTTTATGTCATGAGCCTTGTCATGAATCAAGTCAATTCAAGTTCCAAAGATTATGATACCCTATCGTATCCTATCTCACAATCCTAGGCAGCAGCGTACCAAAAGGGCGGCCATGCAAATGGTGAACTTGATTGAAGGCTGTGGTGGTGCTGGCAAAGGAACCTAATATGTCCTGCAGCCACTCTCGTATCACAAATTGCGTCATTCGTCATGTCCGTGAGACTTTTGACAGTTTACTGTCTGTTTGCCTCTGTTTAAATGCAACTCCGCGGCGCGAAGTTGAACTATGTTGAACTCAGTAAATGTCAGTACTCAATATAGTTCACATGATCAGAGGTTCCATAGTTGAGATGCCAAGGGTTCACACATCGCAAAAAATGAGTCAACATTGAATGAAAATTTTCGGGTGAGTCCAACATGTGAACAGTAGCATCAGGGTCAGCGTGAGTGACCATGTCGTATTGTAAAAAGGAAAAGCAGAAATCAGAATGGTCAAGACTCCACTGTTTCTCTGGTTAGCAAAATGAGCGACAAACTGGCGACCTTCCCAAGACACGCAATGATTTAACTGTGGCGGAGCATACAAGGTCTCAAAACCAAAGCGCGGCATACCTGCTGATAGTTTGCAAGGACCTGACTGTGACTACGCATCATCACCTGGATGCGATTGTCTGTTGGACGAGTTTTTTTTTTCGCAGGCCTTTCCTGACAAGAACACCATATCTTGTAGCTTGTGAGATTCCAGGTAGAGAGGCCACAACCATCACCCGATTCTGGCTGTAAGATGCTGTAAGTTCGAGGCAGCCCCTGAAATCGAAAATTTCGTTTTTGCAACCTAAGACTTCGGTATCTGGTACCTCGTCGGACCATGGCCGCCAGAACTTTCTCGGTGACAGGTTTTCCGGACTTTGAGGTTTCGGATTGCCGAGAAGGGTGTCATCGCCCTTTCGGCGACAGGTTTTTTGGAGTTTCTATTCGCTATGAATGGCAAAATTCCAGGAACTATTTATAAAATTCCAGGAACTATTTATAAAATTCCAGGAACTATTTATAAAATTCCAGGAGCTATTTGTAAAATCTCAGGAACTATTTGTAGATCATCTTAGCGGACCCCAGCCCAAGAAAGGATATCTGCAAACATTCCACCGTCGCTGCTAGAGCAAGCACTTTGTCAAGTACTGCCGGGACAAGTTCGGGTCGACCGTTTGACTAGAAAACCCAACTTTCGGACACCGAACCGGAAATCATGAACCTTTTGCAGACTGAGGGATTTTGGACATTCTTTGGTCGTTTCTCAGCAGATATTGATTGCATAATCTACTAAAAATACCCCCAAAAAAAGGTAGACTGACCACTGACCAACAGACAAACCTGACAGAAGGCCGATTGGGTTTGAAGATCATTTTTTTGATTTGTGTTCAGTTCACACGCAGGTTCAGCAAAAATTGTAAATGAGTAATAGGTCCGCATATCATATCCTGGATCTCGCTTTTTCTGGGCTAAGCTGGGTTAGTTCTTGGTTTTGATTTCTGATCTTGGATTTAGAAACAGTTGGGAAGGCAGCAAAGATTAACAATAGATCGACAGCGTTCCAAACCGTTCTGAGCTGTTTATTCTTTTTGTACTTTACAGGGTTAATAAATAGATCGGAACCGTTCCGAACCGTCCTGATCTATTATATCTCTGTGTAGTTTACGGGTTTTATAAATAGATCGGAACCGTTCCGAACCGTTCTGATCTATTTCTATTTCTACGTACAGGGTTTATAAATAGTTCGGAACCGTTCCGAACCGTTCTGATCTATTTATACGTACAGGGTTTATAAATAGTTCGGAACCGTTCCGAACCGTTCTGATCTATTTATACGTACAGGGTTTATAAATAGTTCGGAACCGTTCCGAACCGTTCTGATCTATTTATACGTCGCATTTATGAATAGTTCGGAACCGTTCCGAACCGTTCTGATCTATTTATACGAAAAAAGCAAAATAGATCCAATTAGTTCCAAATAGTTCCAAATAGTTCCGAGTTTATAAATAGTTCGGAACCGTTCCGAACCGTTCTGATCTATTTATAAAAACGGATGTAAAAATAGTTCGGAACCGTTCCGAACCGTTCTGATCTATTTATAAAAACGAATGTATAAATAGTTCGGAACCGTTCCGAACCGTTCTGATCTATTTATAAAAACGAATGTATAAATAGTTCGGAACCGTTCCGAACCGTTCTGATCTATTTATAAACAGAAGCGGTTATAAATAGTTCGGAACCGTTCCGAACCGTTCCGATCTATTTATAAAAACGGATGTATAAATAGATCGGAACCGTTCCCAACCGTTCTGATCTATCTGCAAGACTGTCTACATAAAGAATTTATAGATAGATCGGAACCGTTCCAAACCGTTCTGATCTATTTATAAACTTGGATGGATAAATAAATCACAACCGTTCCAAGACGTTCTGATATATTGACCAACTTGGATGTATAACTACATACAGGATTTTAGAGATAGATGGGAACCGTTCCAAACCATCCTGATCCATATAGTTATCAAGTATGTATGTTCTACTTCTGAACTTCCCGAAGTTACTTGGTCATTAGCCATAGCTACATTTTCAACTATATCTTCAAAATATGTGCAAAACTAAAATGAACTAACCATTGTTTCTGGTGGTCTTAAACTTAGAGTATTGGAATCATATATTCAATAATAAACCACCAAAAGTCGGGGTAGCTTAAAACACTGGCCCAAAACCCATAAGCGTACTATTATTGTAGACAGATGGTTTGGTGACTGCTTTGGCCTCACTATGTGTTTCTTTTTTAAAAATAGGCCCAGGAGTTTGGAAACAGAAAAACGCCAGTATCAGTATAATGCAGTAAATAGCTGCTGGGATTCTATAAATAGTTTCTGGGATTCTGTAAATAGTTCCTAGGATTCTACAAATAGATCCTGGGTAGCTATGGCCCCTAACACAGAAAGAGGCCAAAGCAGTAAGTAATATATATATATATATATAAGTGTGTGTATATATATATAAGTATCATACATATATATATATATTTAGATATGTATTTATATGTATATATATATATATTTAGATATGTATTTATATGTATTTATATGTATATATTATATATATATATGTGTATGTGTATGTGTATGTGTATGTGTGTATGTATGTATGTGTGTATGTATGTAACGTGATGTGATGTGATGTAATGTAATGTAATGTACGGTAATGTAATGTATGTATGTATATACACATAGCTTACTTATAGCCTTAGCGGCTCTTAGGCTCAGAATTAGCGGTTCTATTCCAACTTACGTGTTATGGTCATGGTGGCAGTTGCATCCAGTTGCCATCAATTCATGGCCCCTCACCGGGGTCACTGCCTGCGGCACGGCAGAGGTCCTGTTCCTGGGTGCTTGCTTAGATCCAGGTGCTCCGGTGATGTTTGTGACCGAGTACATGCCTCGAGGCGGCTTGGTGAAGCATGGTGAAGCCAAACGAGCTGGTGGTCATGGATGTTCATCACAAATATAGCATACTAGAACTGACTAGAACATACTATGAACATACTATGAATCATACATTTAAGAGGTTTTGAACCATCCCATTTTTAGAATGTAGATGATCTAGATAAATTCTAGATTTGTTTCATATGTTTCATAGATCTTGTATTTTATGCACGCCGCAGGTGGATGAATGAGGTCATGATGGTTGTGATCCTGATCCATCACGAACTTGACTATTTGACTTGAATGTGTGGCGTTGCCCATTGCACGGACCAACGCCAGGTGGAACATTTTGATCCCAAAACATGAACTCTAGCCGCTAGCTTAGCGATGTAATACACTGTAAAGATCTGTAAAGCCATTTTTTAGACATGGTAACGTGACATGTTCAATTTAAACAGCTGCACAGAGAAGTAGTTGAATTTCTGGTTCATGATTCTTTCCCGGAGAGTGCCCTCAGGTAATCAGATCTGGCACCATGATTTACCAATTAAGCATGGTGATTTCCATTGCAAGGTTCGATCAAGCCCAGTTTGTTGGGGTTTGATCAGTATCCCAAATTCTGCTGGTCGAATCCCCCATCCCTTGCCGCAGGGGATGTGGAGAAGCACATGTCTCAGCAACGCGAAGTCAAGCAGGTGGCTTGGTACACTCCGCCGCTGTCCCGCATGGCTCCTTGGACTGAAGTTACCATTGGGCAGTTGCATACTTGGATATCCCATATGCGAACCATGGTGCTGGTATATTGACCTAACAGGACCTAGGTGATTTTGTGGCAAGTGTTGGTTATTCATGGTTATTCCAGCACCATGGAGCATATGGCTATGTATAAATTGTCATTGTCACAGTCCTTGCGAATGGACTGTGGTGATGGTGATGTGCTCTCTTTGTATTTGTGCGGTAATCTGCGGTACAACATGCCTCAACCTAGCCAATCAGAACCACAAACTGTTGTATGAATTGCGGCAAATGAAAAACCATGGTTCTTCAACCAAGCCATTCATTATACATATCATATCATCATATAATATAATTTACGTATCACTAATTATACTGATTATATCCCGATTCTCTCCAGATTGTATTCATAACTTTTCTAAGTCAGGATCCCATATCAATACTTGGTATGAACGACAACGACAAAGACTAGTGCCTCACGTGTTTTTTCAGATCTGCACCAAGATCAGCTGGTGTTGCGCCGTGGCACGCGCCCTGGCGTTCCTTCACAAGTTCCCAGTACTGCATCGCGAGCCTTGGTGAAGAGAATTGTGTCGAAGATGAATGGGGACCATTTCGCCATGATGGCGATGACATGTGATGACAGTTTCATGAATCCCTTCTGTTCATATTGAATAAAAACGAAAGCATGGTGACCGTGGTGGAATGTGTTAGATCATGTTGGATCTATTCTCGAATTTTCGGTGTCATGGGTGGGCTATGTCTTTGTTTCCCAGCTATCAACGTCCATTGATCGTGGATTTTCCATCGTTTTTTCAGATTTCCCATGGGATTTCCCGCGATCCACCTGGCTTGACATCCTGTACGAGCTCCAAACATCCCCAAGCAATTCACCAATGTTTGGTGTTATTTCGAAATGAAAGCGTATAATATATATATATATAGCATATGAAAGTTATATAATCTTATATATATATGTGTGTGTGACTCTCTCTCTCTCTATATATATATATGATGTGTGTGTGTGTGTTTGGCGTATATGAAAGTCTTTTTAGATCAGAGCGCAAAACCAAGCACCATGTCATGTTATTTTTATTTTTTTGGGGTTAAAGCCATTGCAATGCAATCCACCTGTTTTGATGGCCAAGAGAAAAGATACCTCCAGCTGAAATGACTCGCCTCAGCATGTGTTGGCTACATGCTGGCTATACTGCCATCATTTTTGATACCCTAAGCTTTGGAAGAGATGCCCCAACCTTGAATCACTCATAGTCGTTGATCAAGACACCACCACGTCCATTCAGAATTGAGTTGATTAAACTCCACTGGGATTGTGGTCAAATCATGTTAAATCTATGCCGATGTTTGATCGTCAAATCCCAATTTGATGTTGCTCAAACCCAGTGTTTAGTGGTTAATTGGCAAAAAACAAGTTGTTCAAGTCCAGGACTTGAAGCCCATGAACCTCCTTTTGACAGAGAAATTGGACGTCAAGGTTTCCGACTTCGGCACTGGCATCTCGGTGACGTAGTTCCCAAAAGGAGTGTTGCCAGGATGGTGTAGATATTTGCCTGGTTCACAACTCTTCTATGAATATTTTGGGATTTTCTGGTTCACAACTCTTCTATGAATATTTTGGGATTTTATGGTTCACAACTCTTCTATGAATATTTTGGGTTTGCTACATGCGAAATGCAATCAACCCGGTATCCTGTGCAGGATTTAGCCCTAGCAGCGCCCCAGCAACACGACAAAGCGCCCACAGCAATGCACGAGATTATGATGGTACGTTTCTTTCTCCATTGCGGATGCAAACATGGGAATATCGACGATAGATATGGGTTTGCCTGAAAATCGAGTGCCTCCAAATTTTATTGCTAATCATCACCATTTTTGAGATATACCACATTTTCAGACACACACACATTACCCTCTGGTAATTTAACATAGCTATTGAAAATGACCATAGAAATAACCCATTAAAAATGGTGATTTTCCAGTTCGCTATGTTAGTTCACCAGAGGGTAATGGGAATGTTTTAATGCAGACGAGCGAAGCACAAGAAGTGACGCGTATATTGATCGCCTCGCCGCCTGGCGAGGCCGACTCATCGAAAAGGTGGATGGCAACAAGACACCTGGCCGAAAAAGCTGTTTTTCCGAGGGTGAAAAATTGGTGGGTACTTAACCCCAAAGTATGGTATACCCTCTGGTAATTTAACATAGCTATTGAAAATGGCCATTTATAGTGGATTTTCCCATTGAAAATGGTGATTTTCCATAGCTACGTTAAATTACCAGAGGTTAAATATGAATCCCAAAATAGGGGTTTAAGTAGGGGAACAACCGATGAACCCTTGATGTAAAGCCAACCTTCAATTTATGAGTAATTTATGAATCGGACAATATGCTGGGAAATATGTCGCGATCAACATGTCATGGCAACATTCGTTTCTCATCATGCTCATATGATGGGAAACATTGGGAAACCCTAAAATACGCAAAGACATGGCATCATGGATCGGAAAGCGATCAACATTAAAAACGACACTTCCAGGGGCGCAGACGTCTTTCTTATGATTTCTTTGGTTTCCACCATGTAGTGTTCTTTTGGTTAGCTGTCAATTTCCACCTTTTAACAGTTTGTGGTGATGCGTGAAATATTGGGTTGTCCGATCTGGCTGTCGGTTGCCATGATTTTTTCCCAGCTGCATGGATGCCCAGAAAAGTGACGGTTTGCGATGCCGCAAATGTTCGGATCATTTCCAGGGTTTGAAATTGCATTTGTTGTGCAATTTGCATTTGTTCATCGTTTTGGAGGATGGAGATGAGGGTATTATGAAGGTAGCCATCAAATCCCACCACATCGACCGCCCTGTCCAGGACACTTGATGTCACCAACGCTTTAACCATGGGAACGGTTGGGACCTTCACTTACACTGCGCCGGAAATGATGCGATCCTCTGACTACGACGAAAAGGTGGGTGTCTAACTGGGCTTTGAGAAATCTCAGGGAAATTCTGAACTCCAGAAATGTGGAAATTTATGGAAATTTTGGTATTTCCAGAGAGTGCCACCCGAAAAGTCGAATCATGATCATCACCTAGCATTTTTGAAGACGTAGCCTCTTAAACCCCCAGTTTACACCGCCTTTTTAACGGTCACAATGTATTTTTCAATGTGGATGGATCAAAATGATCAAAAACCCAAGCAGATTTTGGGGGATGAACATCCATTCCTTTTCTTAGCTGGGCAGGGTTTTGACTTAGCCATATGGTCAGGTGGATATTTATGCCTTCGCGCTGATCATGCCGCTGGGCTTGTCAACCCGCTTTTTGCACCGGTTGTATCACTTGGTGCCCCCTAAAGAGCTGCGGAGGTTTGACCAACGGAAGGTCATCATATTTTAACATATTTTACCCTCTGGTAAACTAACAGTTTGCTATGGTATAGATGGCCCTAATCGCCATAGAAATAGATGGTTTACCTACTAATAGCATGGTTATTTTCTAGTTCGCGAACTGTTAGTCATTACCGGAGGGTAATACAAAAAGAGAAAACATCCTGGTGAAGATAAGCCATGGTGAAGCAATGGATCGAGAAGGAGTGGATCACCCTGAAACTATCCCAGATCGTCACTTTTTCGTCCAAGTCCCGCATCTGAGTGTGGGAGATGGAAGAAGTGCCATGAGCTATTTAGCCATATTTTTGCCTTCTTGTTTAATTGCACCCGTGGATCTTAACCTCATAGATTTCATAGATTCTCATGCCAATGACATAGCTCATTGGCGGAATTCCTCATTTCAACGCTGCCGTCATGGTAACCAAGGTACTATTTGAGTTCGGGTCGCCCACCCTTCATGCACCTCCATCCGCAGGAGCCATTCTTCTTTTAGGGAAGCAGGTTTTGCTCATGCCCTGTGTTTGGTGAGGTTGAAACATCACTTGAAATGGACCGAAATGGAGGCGAACTGTCGATTGGCCTTTCAAAGATTCAAGACAATATTTTTGTCGATTAGAAACCCCAGACCCCCGGCAAGTCCCTGGCAGTGTACCTGATGGTACTGCATGGTACTTCATGGCTGCATTCCACCAGCAACACAAACAATTTTTAATAGAAAAAACTGGAATTTATATAATTGCTATAGCCATCAGGGTTTGCGCGCGGGACTTGCGATACAACCACGGTTCCCAGCTGAAGACTAGGTTTGCTTGGTACCGTACTTTGAGTATCATTCCACTTTATGACTGGTGAGTAGATATGGGGATAGGTGAAATATCTGCAGTTATGTACATATATGTATATAATATAATTGTATACAATTACATCTTATACGGTATGTTACAGAGAGAGAGAGAGAGACTCTATAGCCTATAGTCTATAGGTTATGTATACTGTATAGTCCCGCTAGAAATGGGATGAGCCCAACTTCTGTTCGTGGCTTAGTGCCACGTTCGGCCAGGACCTCATTGAGAAGTATGCAGCAGGGGAGCAACCCAGACCCAACGTTGGGGACTGTCATCGTGTGATGCGAGGCGCCGCGGAGCGGTTTTTTTGGTTCCGGTGATGCCCGGAGTTGGAATGAAGAGGAGAATCTCGGAATAGGATGAAAGATGATGAAAGTATACTGAACGTTAGTATATACTGTTAGTGTAAGAAACATTAGAATAGGATGAAAGTATACTGTTTATAGACTGTTTCTTTTTTGTTGGAACATGAGTGTTTCGAAATACTTGGACGGATTCGGGACCTCGCCTATCGTAGTTCTACAAGTGAAGCATCGTCCAGTCGATCCGGGCACCATGAAATGGCACACGGCTATGACTTGCTGCTGCATCAATGGAATGAATATGAACACGACCATGAAATAAAATGAACAAACGCGCAAATGAACGAAGGCGCGAATAAACCAATGAATAGACAAATGAACACATGAACGAATCAATGAACCAGCAGACTGCCGGACAGACAAGTGAATTGAACTAATTGAATTGAATTGAACTACATAAATTGAATGAAGACATAAATGAATGACATGGAGAGAGGGAAAACATGAGAGAAAAGAGATGAACATGTTATGGAATGAATGAAGTAAATGAAATGAATGAAACGAAAGAATGAACAAATAAGCGACTGAAATCCACGGAATGAATGACACGAAACAAAATGCTGTGAAATGAAATGACTTGGAATAAGATTGGATGAAATGAACGGAATGAAGGAATGAATGGAGGGAATGGAATGGAATGAATGGATGAAAGGATGCTGGAATGACTGACTGACTGACTGACTGACTGACTGACTGAACAAACGAACGAATGAATGACTGAAAAGAACAACGTATTGAAATTAATGAAATTAAAAATGACAGGAACCAAGTGAATCAAATGAATGTCATGAAAGAAAAATGAAATGACATGAGATGATACAAAATGAAATGAGAAGACATGAAATGACATGGCATGAGGTGAAGTGAAACGAAACGGTATGAATTGACATGAACGAGGCAAATTGACAAAAACAAGTCAATGAAACGAAAGAAATGAACGCATGAATGAACGAGTGGAGTCCGTGTGAATTTTGCTGGGTCCAGGCCTGGTGGAACGCTGCTGGGCTGTGGACCCCAAAGAACGTCCATCCGCGGTGGAGATTTTGAAGGCTTTGCATGAGATTGACGACAGAGGCGTGGTGATGAGGCGGTGTCAAGTCGCACAAAAATCGATTGATCGTCAGATGCTCATCATTGATCATTGATGCCCAAAAGCAACGCCCAGATCATCTATGAAAGGTGTTTTTTCCATGTTTGTTCCATCTATGGAAAGCCTCATCTTGGAGATAGCTTTTGCGGACAGAAACTCCGTTCCCAGCACCCTGCGTGGGCCCCAGGTCATTGTGATGCTTGTTCCACCATGTGAGCCGCTTTTGTTTGCAGCGAAACTCGCAGCACGAATTCCAAGTATTGGGGGCCTGGAGGGTTCTCCATTTCAGGGGCCCCAAGATGTCTTTTGGGACATCAATTATTGATGTTTTTCTGGGTTTCATGACCAATTATCATCAATTCTTGGGGGAAAATGATGATTCACTTTGAGGTTTTCATAGCTTGGGGCCCCCAAAATCAGGTGATGTTTCTGGCGGAAATCTCACGTACTCGGCAAATTCGGGTCGACGAGCCAAAGCCTCCGGACCTGGTTTTTAAGCCCGGGCTTCCATGACTGCGGCCACCCAAGCCACAGAACAAGGCCAAACTAGTAGTAGTAGTAGTAGTAGCAGCAGCAGTAGCAGTAGCAGTAGCAGTAGCAGTAGCAGTAGTAGTAGTAGTAGTAGTAGCATATAGTAGTGTAGTCATGTATAGTCAACATCTGGTTGGTGGTTTCAAACATTTTTTTATTTTCCATAGGTCCATAATATATGGGATAATCCTTCCCATTGACCAATATTTTTCAAGATGGTTAAAACCACCAACCAGGTAGTATAGTCAACATTGCTATAGTTACTATCGTTTCCTCAAAATTTTTTTTTTGAGTGAACAGTGGAACAGTGCAACCTCATGAAACCCTATCTGACGGCCGCCACGTGACGAAATCTTATGGAAACTGTACGCTGGAATCTGTGGAGTACTGTATACACGATGTCAAATAGAATCAAATAGAAACACTCTGTGTTGGAATAGATTCATCGAAAGGGTGAAAACATGTTGTCATGGCACACTGCTGTTTTCAATTGTTTTCAGAGGTGTACTTTTTTTTGGGCATGGGTTGCGCAACCACCAGCCTGCAAGGACGGTGCCTGGGGGTTGCGCAATCACCAAGCTGCCAGGATGGCCTTCCTGTCATGCAAGTCCTGCTCGGTACAGCTTCGCCAAATGTGCGACAGCTGCATGCATTTTTCAGAAACAGCCGGAACGATGAAAGTATATCGCATGAGGTGTGAGGGCATGACAAGGGCCTCAAACCTGTTTCCCATCATATTTTTTGAATACGAAGACAATCCAAATGTTTGATTGTTGTTTGCTATTTGGTTGTCAACGAGTTTCATTACAATAGTTGATTTTCAATGACTGCAACTTTACAGACTGGAGGTTGCGCCTGGATCGCAAACCTAGACATGTAAGTCTATCTTCCCGTTTCCACCACCAGGTATTCTGTTTCTGACCTGACCGAATCCTGAAAAAATCAGTAAACTTCGGAGTTGGCTATGCTTTGGGTGTAAAGGATGGACAATGGATGCAAACGCTGAAATTTACCGAACCTACTGGAAATGAGCAATCTGGACACACAGAAGGCCTAAAAAACTTCAAGGATTACCTGCAAAAATCCGCAAAAATCCCACAACAACTGTCAAAATCAAAATCACGCAAATTTGGAAAAGTCGTAGATTTGATTTTCCAGACTTCCGTGGGTAGGCCGCGAAATGCTGAAATCGATATTCGATGAAATCTCCTTAAAACCGCAATTCACTGAAAATTGTCAGGATTTGGAAGGTGCAGGGAGTTGTTTTTTCACGTTTGGAAACTAATTATGTGTCCAGTTGCATTCCCACTTTTCTTATTGTCCAATATTGGTTAAGTACATGGTAGCATACCCTGGATGTTTGTGGGATCATCATCGACACCACAGCTTGCAGAACATACAGGCAGATGTTGAAGGCGGTACCGGTGGTATAAAATAGAGCTGTTCCCTTGTAGAAAACATTCAGATGAAGGCGGTACCTTTAGCGTTTAGTATGCGTTTCACAGACATTGGATTAAGCATGCCAGACCTTGGATCATCTACTAACGCTAGCGTTAAGTCGTATCAGCTCGCAAAAGTCGTATCGGGAGGCCGTGCGCCTGGAAAAACTTCAAGTTTGGCATCACCACAACTGTTAATAGTGGGTTAATGGTGGGTGAATCACACCAACAACCGCTTTTCACCGGTTCGGCCACATTTCTTCTCCATCTATGTGCTGGAGAAGAGCCAAATCAGCTGGCCGGGCGAGCCAGGTGTTAAAAAGTGGCGACCTCGTGGTGGCGTTGCAAGATCCGAATGCGGAAAACTCCGTCATTTTTTGGTGAAATGATGATCATATGGGATTCATGTGGGATTTAGCTGATTTAACCAACGAAAATTGGGATTAGAATATAGGTTTGATGGACAATTGCGGGAACACCCCAAAATTTGATGGTTCATCATGGCATTTCCCATTGCGATGGCTCCTTTATACCGATGGTTGCTTCTAAAGTAGAGCCATGTTCATCAATTTCCACCAAAAACAGTAACAATGGTGGTTTCCTGTTGGAACTAAGCACTCACATCACCGATGTGTGTTAGGTTTGCCTACAATTACCATCCAAATCACCAACACGCAGGTAAACCAGTGTATATAGATATGCTTGCATGGATGGTATGAGTCGCAAGGGTTTAGCCATGTGCCGGGTCAAGACTTTAAGATACCACTGCAACATCCATTTTTTCCAGCTATATATGTCAGGTGCCCGGAGTCCAGGGTGTTGATCCATAGCACAGGTACCATGTGGTTATTTCACAGTTTGCCATGGAAAGATCCACTATGGCAATTAGGGCCATGGCTTAACCATGGCTAGCCCTGTGAATGTCATAAGCAGGTTGGGTCAGGCCGAGAAGCTGGGAAGCCCATGATGTCATCGATCGGTGCTGTTGAAGTAGCATTTGGGGCATCCACTGGAGATGGTTGGAGTCAGTGTAGGTTTATACTGGTTGGTGCTTTGGAACATGAATTTTATTTTTCCAGAATATATTGGGAATAATCATCCCAACTGACTTTCATATTTTTCAGAGGGGTAGGTTAACCACCAACCAGTATAGGATTTTATAGGTAACTCCGTTCCTGCAGCTGTTTGGATAAAGCCAGAGATGGTAAGACCATGAAAAAGCCATGAAAAACCATGTGAAATCCTTGAAAGGGGGTGGAACTGTCCCAGGTCGCTGAGGGTTAGTCAGGTAGATCCACTGAGCCACCTGGGGGAAGAATCTTCCTGTGTTTATCCCTCGGCCAGGTGACAAGCTGTCAGACGAGTCTTTCTTGAACCAAGTGGGGTGGAAGTTGTGGAAGTTTGCACATCTTCAGGTGGCTAGCACAGTCTGATGAAGAGATACAAAAAGGCAACAGACGATCCACCATTTGTAGATGATCTACCTCATAATTATGTCATACTCGTGTGATAAAACACCATTGCCAGGTTCAAAACCAGAATTTGTAGCTGACCTCAACCACCAGACTTTGGCAGATGCGTTTGTTCTATGCCTGTGCTGCTGGCGACCCAACACCAAGAGCCTTTTGGAGACCACGGATGCTCAGAAAATCGTGCTTCGGAGATGGTTTTGAATCGCCTTTTGGCGGGCGGTTTCTTCCAAAAAATGTGTTACCAATGTCATCATTTGTGGCTGGGAGCCGCACTCGCCTTTTTTGGGGGGGGTTCTGGGAAACTAATTAAAAAAGCAAGACGAAATTGGTTCATTTTCCACAAGCCATGTTTGACTACCGGAGGGTATACTTGTACGTCTTGAGCATTGCTTACTATTTCGGATGCCTACATGCGTTTTGTAGTTCACTTCGACCAAGGTCGCCGCCATCCACTGAAATATGGTGGTTTCCTGAAATGGGGGTACCCCAATCATTGGTTGGTTTATAGTGGAAGATCCATCTATTCATGATTTAGGGGCCCAAAAAAAATAGGAAACCTCCATCCATGGCCAGTCAGTCCAGAGTCTGAATCGGAAATCATGTCGGACAATCGGAAAATCATGGATCCCCCTTTTGAAAGGAGGTGTCAACGGGAAAATTAGATCAATTTGGGGGCTTTCCAACTAACCATCTTAGATTTTTTTTCGGGTGATGGACGTATAAATCCATTCCGTAGATGGGTTAGGACCCTGGCCGACCCCTTTTTAGGGTCCGAATGGTGAACCCAGGATGTGAATTTCCGAGATCACAGTGGTCGAACGGCCATGGAAATTCGACCCTTCCGCTTGCCACCATCCACCATCCACCATCCACCATCAGATTTTTTCACGCACCATGTTTTTGCAGCCTTCCACTATACAGGTTAGGCATACATTGTATGCTGGTTGGTGGTTTGGAACATGAATTTTATGACTTTCCATATGTTGGGAAGAATCATTCCAACTGACTTTCATATTTTTCAGAGGGGCAGGTCAACCACCAACCAGTATGGCAGCATACTGTCGATGCTATCCCTTTAGCGCCAGTTCTTTTTGGTTGTACCTCTCTTCTGGTTGTTTGAACCCGTGCCCAAAACATGCTCGTTAGATGGGGTCATCATATTATCGCAGGTAAGATCGAGCATAGAAATTATATGAAATTATATGAAATTAGAAAAAAGATTTCTCTCTTGACACCACGCGAAGTTTGCAGAACACGTTGAACACCTTTAAAACAACCAGTCTTTGCTGTATGGTGCCCATCTTTCGGTGGACTCACTGTTTTGGTGACATTTCTTCTCCATCCATGAGCTGGAGAAGACCCTCCATGCCACAATGGAAAATTGAGAGCAATGCTCGTGGAGTCCCAAACGGCTACTGGAACATTTCTGCTTTGTTCCACCAGAATTGTCATCATTTTCTTTCAGCAAGGAGAGAGCGAACCAGGTGTCAAAAAGCTGGGCGTTGGAGGATCATTTGTATGCGAAAAACTCCACTAGGGAATTCAAACGAGAATATGGGTTTGTTTGAACACAGGGCATTCCAAAATTTGATGGTTCATCATGGTGTTCCCATGTTTTCCCATTACAACGGCTACTTCATGGGCATACACAACTTTAAGACACACTCATGTCTGCATATGTTTTCAAGGCGGTTGAAACCACCAGCTAGATATGCCCCCAAATGTTGAAGGTTTACCAAGCCATTGAATTCAACAATCTGATAGAACTATAGGTACCCTATGGCATGTCATAGCATGGTTTATTGTTGGCCTTTCCAGATGAATGCGGCGAGCATTGGTCCGGACGTTGCTTGATCATTCAAAATGCTTGGTTGGTATGGGAGAATCTTGACCCCGCCTTTCACAAGCATGGCTGGTGATTTTTGGCGGCTAAATGTAGCGCCAGTATCATTGTATTGGCATCAGTATCACTTGGCTTTCGAAAGTGTTGAGATGACCATCTCGCGATATTTGAGTTCGGCAGATGGAATTCCTTTCGAGTAGCACCGATATGTGATATGTAAACCCGAATTCGAGGTACCATTCTTTAAAAATGTTAACATCTTTTAACTTTAACTGGATGATACCTACAGTAATTACAGTCATTTTTCATTTCGGGAACGAAGATACGTAGTGACATAGTGGCCTGGACCGACTTTTTGGTTCAGCTTTCCCCTGGAATTCAGACGGGCAATCCAAAAGTGTCCAAGATCCATGCTTGGACATGTTATTTTCTACAACCCCAAACGGATTTTTTAGCTCAAGATAATTCTGAAATATTCTGAATGTACAAACATATATACACACAAGATCACACACACACAACACACAACACACATTTATATGTGAATGACATGTAAACTTGATAGCAATGCAAACATGATTAATAGATGTCTTGGAAAATCAACGAAGACATCCGAACTTTGGGCTGAGAACGGCTGAGAAACTCAGCCATAGGGTGGCCATGTGGAGGGTGCGGCCTGGCTGATGTGGAGGTCTTTCTGCGATGAACGTGAAGTTCGTTCGCAGCTGGGCGAGGAATGCGGTCGGTAGGGACAAGACCTGTTGGGCTTGGGTGTGCAATGGTCCAAAAGGATCCAAAAGGAACAACTAGCACGAGATCATCTAAAATTGTTTAACACAAATTTTTCCCACGACCTCACAGTGATGTCACTGGAACGCTACAAAAATACTTAATATAGGCAGCAAAAAAATCCCAAGATGGCGAACAATTTATCAGGTTGGTCGCCATCTTTTACAATTTATCGCCAAGCATTTGGATAAAGATGGCCATCGACCATCCCAACATGAATTTATTACATTTTATTACCAACCAGCAAGGCTTGATACCTTGCCATCCGTGACCATCTAAGAATCTAAGCCAACGGAACAAATAGGGCACGGCATGTTCGGAGTGGGGACATTTGAACTGACAAAGCCTCTTTGAGGAATGACCATGTAACATCATGTAACATTGACGAAAGGGTATTACTGGTATTACTTCTAAACAAATTACTTGCTGTTGTGGCACCCGTACGCCATTTTCCTGTGACATTGACCAAATCACCATGTGTAATGTCCGCAGGTTGACATGGTTGTGTTTGTCAACAGCCTCATTTGGACACCCAAAATATAACCCTTCGAAAATACATTGGAACATATTGGAACCTCAAATGCAATCCCAAAAACACGATTTGCGCCCCAAAGATTTCTTGGAACACCTGGACACCCAAACTTTCTCAACAGACCCCGTTGTGGTGCCAGCCATCCACCAAGGAGTGGTGCCAGCCGCAGAAGAACCTGCGCTTGCAGCGGAAGCGCCAGCGGATATCGTGCAGTTCTCGACGGCGCCGTTTGGCCAAGGTATGTGATATTTGAATCATCTATATGGGGTATGTGCCCCATAGTTAGCTAAGTTGGTTTATAACTCCAATAACTATGGTTTATGGCAGATATAACTATAGTTAATGGGGTTTATAAACCAACTTATAACTAGGGGGCACCACATTGTATGAGGTATGTGCCATAATGGGAGTTTAATGGCTATGAAAAATGCTTCATATTTCATGGTGATATTTTTGATCTGATATAACATGATTTTTCACATAGGTGGCCAGCAACTTTCGGACATCGGTATCGAAAGATACTGAAAGCATACCATCTCTGATTTTTCTGGGGGATATGGGATCGCTCCAGTTCCACCCAGAAATCGCCATGTTCCTATAGAAGAAATGGTTGAAACTTGGGAAGCCAGCTTTTTATTTCTGGTTGGTTGGGGTTCAAAGATGGAATTAGGTAATTTTGGTTGGGTTTGATGTGTGATGTTTATTGTTATTCACAATATTCACATATATTTACTATGCATTTTGGCATTCTTTTCTAGGCTCGCCGTTTCTGTTTAAGCGGCGCACGGACGAGTTTCCCAGCAAGGATCTACTATGTGGAGGAAGACGAAGGCGTCCTGCCTGTGGACATCATGCGCTTAGGATCCATGCAAGGAATCGTGAAGGTGCAGTACTCGACCGATGCTTGTGTCGAGAACGCTGTGTGACACTGGCGGACCGGTGGACAGGGATCATCAAGTGGCATCCTGGTAGTGAAAAAACTTGCCTCCAAGATTACCGAAACCCAGCATGGCCCATGGTTGTGTATAGGGGGGAATTTTTTTTGAGGATTAGAACGCATCTTTGGGATCATAGAATTGGGATTATGATCAGGGGCTGGGATCAATGACTGACTTCAGCACAACGAACCGATGGCCAAGCGGTTTCGCCAAGGAAGACGGTTCAGCCCGAGCAGGGAAACAATACAAAGCGCAGAAAGGTGAAGTGATCTTTGAAGATCAAGAGCTTCCCGGCTGACAGTTTTGGCGGAAAATGTCGGACATCTATCCGATATGGGGAGAAGAGAGGTTAATTATATATTGGTTATTGAACATAGTTAGTTTGATGGCCCATTTAGTTCGATGGCTTATGATGATTTACCTATTAAGATAATGATCTTCCAGTTCGCTATGTCAATTGTAACCAGAGGCTAGGGTAGAAAACTGCTGCCCAGCAGCTTCTTTTCGTGGCAAATCATGGCTGCCTTTTATGTTTTTTTTGGGGGTTGTCGTTTTTTTTGTCATGTCTCGTTCTTGCGGGGATGACGTCCAAACATTTCGAACATCGTATTTTTCGGAGTTTTTTTTGGGGGTCATGTTTCTATCCTTTCTTTTTTTGGAGCCTGGCATTTGCGGCACAGAAAAATGATAGGACATGGCAGAAGAATGACGCATCCAAATGACAAAACGATGACGAAAATGACACCCCAATGACAACAAAATGACAATAAGAATAACAACAGCAACATTTCAAGATGTCCGGGTCTGCTGATCAACTCATAGGTCAGTAACCAAGGTCAATCCTCGTTCTCCTCGAGATCCGCTTATTGATATAATCCCTTCACCCTAATATTCAACGCCCCCCCAATAATAAAACCTAGGGGTAGTTTTTATTCTTAGGGGGTATTTAATATTCGGGGGAGAAGCTTTCCGGGGATAATAAATTTAAAACAATAATTTTAAAAAAATAAACTAAAAGTTCGATTTCAAAATCAATTAAATGCCCTTTTATAATCTAGTTAAATATTGCCAAAAATTGGAGTGCGAAGCTTTCCCCTAACATTAAATTTACAA